ATTGAGCTCAGGGTTGGAGGCTTCTGAGGACCTGGCTCCTTGTATGCAGAATTCCAAGCCTGTTGCCCACAGCAGGGAAAGTGCTGCTCCCCCTAGTACTAGGGGCTGGGGATGTGGCTTAAGCGGTAGCGCGCTCACCTGGCATACCCGGGGCACTGGGTTCGATCCTCAGCACCACATAAAAATAAAAATAAAGATGTTGTGTCCACCAAAAACTAAAAAAAAAAAAAAAAAAAAACTAGTACTAGGATTCTCAAAGCTTGCATCTGCTCAGCTGTGGCATTTTCTATTAAATAATTCAATTAAAGAGAAACTAAAAATTCAAGCAATTTGGAAAAGTAGATGCAATCTCACTGTTCTTTGACATGCTGTAGAGTTCCACCATGGTCCCAAATATTCTACATAAGTTGGGGGCCTGAACAGGAATGGTACAGAGCAGCCTGCCACCATGAGGACCAAAAGGACTGTTTAAGACTTGGAACTTAATGAAACCAAGCACCAAACTTGAATTTTTATGCACATAAATGTTACAAAAGGGGTTAATAACGGATGAAAATCACATTCCAGAGCAGTTTAATTATAATTATCATTGCAATTATAGTAATTAAGTAGTTGAGAAAATAAAATTAAAACATTTACATTACAATAAAATTTTTAGAGAATTTTGTAGTGCTAGAGATTGCTGGACCTATCAATATGAATTCATGACTTTAGAAAGTAGTACACTTTTCCTAACCCTTAGCCATGAATATGTAATTCTTTTATGTCTATCACCAATACCCATATGGAAAAATATGGTATGCATACCCCAGTGTCCAAATTTGGAGTTTTATCTCTATTCCCTATAAAAAATAATTGGTTCCACTTACTAGGTCAAGAACTAGAATATTTGGGGGTGTGGATCAGAAAATTCAGGTGCTTTTAAAATGTGTAATATGTTCCTGAAAGGACAAAGTCCCCAACTAAAAGGGGTTCCTACAAGTAATAATATGGGCATTAAAAGAGCAAATTATAATTATAAGAAATTGAAACAAGTTGAGTCTATAGAAATTCCTTTTGTATTGAGTTTGGTAAGCTGATTTTATTATTTACATGGAAAAGCAAAGCATCGGAAATAGCAAAACTGCAGGTGGGCAGCGTGGGGGGAGTTGCTAAAGCAGATAAGAAAATGTATTTGAAACTATTGTAATTCAGATAATGTGTTAATGCTACAGAAACAGATGAATCCATGTTTGGAAGCTAGATTTATGACAGAAGGTTCAGTGCTGATTAGTAGAAAGCTGGACTATGCAATATATCAGTCAGAATCTGTGGTCTCCAACTAGATGCAAGAAAACATTATTTAGGCTGAGAGCAGTGGTACATGCCTATAATTCTAGCTGTTCATAAGGCTGAGGCAGGAGGATCACAAGTTTGAGGCCAGCCTGGGCAACTTAGCTAGATCCCATTAAAAAACAATAATAATTGAAAGAGCAGGGAATGTAGCTCAGTGGTAGAGTGCACCTGGGTTCAATCCTTAGTGCTGGGGAAAAAAAGATATATTATATAGGCATTAGCCATCAATAGATCAGAAGCTTCCAGCTGACTTCTAAGAGCACTCTTAAATTTCCTACAGTATTAAGTTAGGGAGAAACTAAAACTTCAAAGCAAGAAGGAAGAGTAAAGGACAATCAGTTCTCCACATGGATGTAAAAAAATGGATCTCTACTTAAATCATAACAAAAAAGTAATTAAATGTAAAAAGCAAAACTTGAAAGTATTAAAAGATAATACAAAGGAATATTATGATGACTTCATGTCATAGAATAGTTTTTTTAACAGAGCTTAAAATTGCAAAGTAAAAAGAAAAATGTAATGATAATTTAACTAGGTTAAAATTAAGAATTTCTGCTCATTGAAAGAAACCATGAAAAGATAATCACAGCTGGAAGAAGATACATACATAGTTGATAAAGGATTAGAGTTCAGGAAATAAAAGAACTTCTAAGAATTAATGAGAATAAGAAAAGTTACCAATAGAAAGATGCTCAAAAGTTTTGACAGACATTGTTCAGAGAGGAAATATGAATATTCAAGAAATATAATGCAAAGTTCCATATCATTGCTCATCAGGGAATTAAATCCACGTTGAGATTTTACATTCATCAGATTTAAAAAAGATAAAATAGACAATATCAAGTTTGGGTGAAGACATTGAAGGTGAGAATGTAAGTCAAAACATCACCCTGGAAGACAATTTATCAATTGTTGATGATGCACATACTTGAATTCCTCTCCTAGCCTATTCCCTAAGAAACTCTTAAAATAATAGTTATTGCCACAAGGTATGTAATAGCTAAAAATATAGAAACAATTCAAATGTCTATTGAAAGGAGACTGTTGTGGTAGATTTCAAGTTGTCCTCTAATCCTCCTTTTAGGACCCCTGATTTTTAACTAGCTCCATATCTACTCCAAATGAAAACTATATTTCCCAGCCTCCCTTTTCCACTAGGTGGGGTCATGTGACTAAGTTCTGCTCAACAGGTTATGAGTAGGAGTGTGGTGAATTGGAGGTGCAGTTTTTAAGTTGAAATACAGGGCATGGAGTATTCCTCTGGAGAGGGACCCTGAGCATCCCAGGGTGAAGTGGAGGTCTTTCCTGAGTCCTGAGTTAACAAAGATACTGAGTGTGATGTGACTTCACATCCACTTGACCAAGAAGGCTTATCACCACGGCGATGCCTCCCAGAACAAAGAAAAGGCCCTCATCAGGTTTAGATCCAAAGAAGCAAATTTCTGCAGTTTGAGGAGGTACTTAGGAGGTATTTTGTTCTTGTTTCTGGCCAGGATCAGGGCACAAAAAAAGAGACTTTTATATCATATACTATTTCCTGTGCTGTCCTATTCTATATACTGGCCCCTAACATCCCAGCTAAGGTCCAGGGCTGGGTGAGGGATCTGAACCTGGACAGCAGGCATGTTAACAACTGCAGCCCTGCCCAGGCCCCAGCTCTCATGGGTTACTGAGAGGGTGACTTTTCTGCCTTTGGGAATATGGCCTAGCAAGAAGGATCATGGAAATATGGAGAAATGGATAGCTTCGAGTGTGTTTCCAGAACCCCAAGAGAAAAGCAGCATGAATTAGTGAGGGGCTGGATGGTTGGCTCTTCTCTCTGTACTTCCAGGCCTGATGTCTCTTTTGCAGCAGATGCCCTTGGAGCCTTGCCAGAGTTAGGCTGGACTCTGCCTTTGCAGCCCTGTCATATCAGCTTTGAAGGGTCCCTCTTGTCAGATCCACACCTCCCTGCCCCCCAGGGAATTGCTGCTGCTTGTGCGATGTATGGGGGGATGGTCGGTCGTGTCCACATGTATATGTCCACCAACCACTCCCTTGTCCCCATTCTTGGCATCCTAAGACTCCAAAACTATGGATGGAAGCCTGTGACTCATTATACCAAAGACCTGCCAAGGCCCCAGGGCTCTCAGGTATGCAATAGAAAAGGGTTCAAGAGGGTTCTTATGAGTGGAAGAGGATTTATAGGGGATTGATGTCTATGGATGTCTAAAAGGAATGACAGACAAAATTATCTGTGTATATTTCTGTAGCTGCAGATTAAAATAACTAGGAAAATAGGGTTTTGTTTGGAAGACTACTTGACATTATCTATCAATATTTAAATTTCACATACCCATATAATTTATGCTATAGATATATCCACACATGTATAGAACACTATTTGGGTGATGCTGGAAATCAAACACAGGGTCCCAAGCATGGTAAGCACTCATTCTACCACTGAGCTACATCCCCAGGCCTACATGAGACATTTTTGATAAGGATATTTATTAGAGCACTGATTGCTATTGCAATTGCACTACTGATATTTCAAAAAGATTGAAAACAACCCAAAAGTCTGTCATTAGGGAGCTGGTTAAACCAAATGTAGCACAATCATGTTATAAAGTACTTACCATTAAAAAAAGCAAACAGGGTATATGATCTATTTATATCTATAAATAGATCTCCAAAATGTATGTTCAGTGAGAAAAGAGAAAAGCACCTGAGCATACTATCCCACATGTACACATATATGTGGGGTATGTGCACATGCTCTTGCGGTGCACAGCATAGAACTGGAAGAATACATGACAGAAGTGGGAGATTCACAGAGGAAAACACACAGCATTTTGCAATGTTTAATTTTTAAATTATACTTATGCATTTCCTAGATTTACCAAGTATTAACATTTCCCAAAACAGGATCTGGAAAGAACAGTGGCTATAGAGTCCATATATACGGTCTATATGATATAGACTACGTGGGGTGGAACGTTAACATTGTAGTCCCCCAGCATTTAAAAGTGACTATGCAAGTGGAAGGAAGTAATGATGCAAATGGAAATGTGGCTGTGAGCAAGAAGGTGGCACTACAGAGGACAGACCAGGCACTTGGTCTGTGTCCTCAAAAAGTGATGCCAATATTTTAAATAAACACACAGAGCTTTTGTACTTGATTATTATTCCCTTCAAAGTAGTTTGCTGAGAGCCTAGATAATCAGAGGATCTCTGAGCTGAAGGCTAAAAATGTGTCAAGAACTCCTGTCAAGAACACCACATCAGGGTGGTGACATTTTTACTCATTTGGAAGCAAAATATTTGTCCACAGAGGAGGGATCTGAATTTTGGAAACAGTCAAATGTCATTTGGTTACAAGTTCCGTTAAAAATGTGAGATATCAAGTTAAGCAATTAGTTTTATAATTAAAACAAAAAGAATGATTGAAAAGAAAATCAGAGCATGCTGTTGCTCTAGTGCCCCTTAAAAATCTGCTCTGATGGTCAAGCCCCAAAAGGATGCTTTTAAAATGATGTGTGCCTTGGCAGCACGGTTGTGGTGAGGTTCGGGCTCCCAGGAGGACTCCTCTGAAGGAGTCAATGCTCGCTTGAAAGTGTAGGTTCTGAGGATTTGTTAGAGAAACCCGCCCAAGCCCATGGGGGTGGCGCAGCCGTTTGGGGCAGGGCGGGGCGCGGGCGTCCGGGGCTCAGCTCTTCTTGCGTAGCTGGCTGTACTGCGTGCGGCCCAGGATGGGCTCCATGACGCTGGGCCGGAAGAAGCTGTCGCTGACCCTGCGCTTCGGCTTCTCGCGGGGCATGGCCAGGAAGCCGCAGCGCGGTACGGAGGTCGTCTCGATCTTGTCCTCCAGGCCCGGGCCCCGCGCGCTACGAAGGCTGCCGCGGTGCTGCGCCAAGCGCGGCGCGGCCGGCTCCGGGCTAGTAGGCGGCGCGCCAGAGCCCTTGCGCTCCGCCTCCCGATGCTCTGTCTCAGCTGGGGGATTGTCGATGTCTCGGAATTCGCTCTCAGGTTCCATCAGAGACAGCCTGGGGAGCTGAGAACCCGGCAGCCACGTTAGATTCCCTACTTGGCCCTCGTCACTACGCCTTGGGTCCACCACCCCTTCTGGGGTCCTCGCCTTCATTCCCCCAGGAGTGGCCACAGGCTGGAATGTGAGACAGCAGGATGGGGGTCACTAGGGTGACCCGCGAGGTTCTGACAACTCTGATCTCCATCAGCTAGACTCCTCAGGCAAGGCAAGCCATGTCTCCAATGTTTCCAGACCCCTTGGGCTTTTCTAAGGGGGACTTTCAAGAAGAAGTCAGTGTCTTTAGAAACCCTCCCTTGGATTATAGGCTAAATGCAACCCACACATTGACCCAGCCAGGATCAGGGTACCTGCCTGGGCATGTTTGGAGCCCAAGGAGGACAAGCTGTCTGCCAACCCCCACTGAATGCCTCTTTGTGGGAGTGACTGAGTAACCCAGCCCCTGGCCAGCTTGAAGAGCATATACCTCCTGTCCTGCCCTGCCCAGCCCTCCTTGCACCTGCTCAATCTGTAACTTACTTTGGGAAGGGGCCTAGAGGCTCCCAAAGGGATGGCATTGGTGTCTCTTGGGTTTTTCCTGTTGGGATAGGTGATAGAATTGGGACTGGGCTAGCTGCCTTCTTTGGAATTCATGGCCCACCCCTCAGGGTGTCCTGGAAGCCTCCCAGCAGGGAAGCCTCTGTCAGGTCCTTCAGTTGGTAGCTAAGGGGTGAGGGCTGAGCCACTGGGAATCCCTAGACTGATAGTGTAAGTCCTCCACTGGTGAGAGAAGCGGGCATGTCAGGGAGAGCCCTCTGGTCAGGGCCCTAGGCCTCTATATTCTTGGGTTTGGGAAAGGCCTCAGTATGTCACAATGTTTCTGGGGCAATGAGAATTGGAGCAGTTCTCCAGGGATGGGGGAAAGGTGGGAGACTGCAGCATGTCAATCAACCCTCCTTTATCTGTCCTCTCCAGACCTCCCTGGGAGACAGGTTAGCCCTGGATGGGACTCACCGGCACATAGTGCACCACTGTGTCCACCACGTTGTCAGTCACACCCTTCAAGGCATCTGATAAGGACATGGCCCTCCCCTTGGTGGAGGAGACAGCAGGGGCTGGTGTGAGGTGCAGTATCCTCCCTGCTGTGCCCAGCACAGCCATAGGTGCCCAAGTTACAGCTGAGATGGTGCCCTGGAGAGTCTTCTGCAGGGTGTGTGCCACACTGCCCAGGAGGCCTCTGGAGCTGGGCAGGGCTGCTTCCTGAGGACCAGAGCAGGGTCAGCACCTCCTACAGTGGCTCTCCTGACCTTTCCCCTCCCACCAGTCCCAGAACTAGAGGGGAAGAATGTGGACACCAAACCAAAGAATGTTTAAGCCTGGCTCTGCCGTTAGCTGTGTAGCCTTGGGCAAATCACCCTCCAGTTTCTCTTTTCTTTTCTTTTGTTTCTTTTTTTGAAGTACTGGGTATTGAACCCAGGGACACTGTACCCCTGAGCTACATCCTAAGCCCTTTTATTTTATTTTACTTTATTTTGAGACAGGGTCTCGCTAGGTTCAAGGCCTTGAACTTTGCAATCCTCTTGTCTCAGCCTCCCAAGTCACTGGGATTACAGGCGTGCACCACTACACCCAGCTCCCCAGTTTCTTCATCTGCAAAATGAGAGCATAATCTCTACCCTGCCTCTCTTAGGGGGTTTTTGTGAGAGTCAACTGAGTGACATGGAAAAACTTGTGCATTTGAGGGTGGGGGAGAGTCCTGCACCCATGTACCCTGTCCCTGGGATGGGGACAGAGACCTTTTCTTCACCCTGTGTCTCTGCTGTTCACTCCCATGTGGGTTGTGGGGTCTTCAGGTTCCTGCTCACCTCACTGAGCTTGTTCTCCTCAGCCTCTGATTCTTCCTCCTCCTCTGTCTCCTCGCCCTCTGTGTCTGTCTGGTCATTGTGGTCCTCATCCTGAGCAGCAGGGAGGTTGTGCAGCCAGGGCACTCGTACTTCACTCTGCCTCCGGGACACCACCTGCGTGGCCATCGATGCACCCCACTGGGCCAGGCTACTCTGAAGGAGAGATGGTAGCAGATGGCTGGCCTAGCAGCCCTGCTTAAGGCCAAGGGGAGCCCCAACAGCCAGAGTCCCTCCCCCCAAAGCCACTTGGTCCCAGCAGACATTTCTCAGCACTTTTTATTGAGGGTAACTTATACCATTGAAGAGCACACATCTTTAGCATACATTTCTTAAACTGTTGTAAGTACACATCTGTGTAACTACCATAGATTGATAGAGACCATTTTCAACACCTCAGAGGATCACCCAGGGCCCAGACTTAGTCTACCAAGTCCTTTAAGAGTGAGCACTATTCTGATATCTATCACTATGCATTTGTTTCAGCGATTTTTTTTTCTTTTTGGTGCTGGGATTGAATCCAGGGCCTCACCATAGCAAGCTCATGCTATATCATTGAGCTGCCCCTCTGACTTCCATGCCTTTTGGGAGGGGGTACAGGGAGTAAACCCATGGGTACTTAACCACTGAGCCACACCCACCCTTTTTTATATTTTATTTAGAAACAGGGTCTGACTGAGTTGCTCAGTTGCTGACGCTGGCTTTGAATTTTCAATCCTCCTGCCTGAACCTCCTGAGTCTCTGGGATTATAGGTGTGTACCACCACACCCAGCTCCATACCTATTTTTCAGCTTCACATAAATGTGTATTTGTTCGTGAATAGCTTCTTTAGTTCCACATAATGCTGTGATAGCCATCCTTTTCGTGAATAGCTTCTTTAGTTCCACATAATGCTGTGATAGCCATCCTTGCTGCATATACAAGTGCTTTCCTTTTTTCATCCTTGTATAATATTCCCTTATGTAAATTCACCACCATTTGCCCATTCTGGTATGAATGGACCTCTCTGTAGTTTCAAGTTCTTGGCTAAGGATAAAGCTGATAGGAACATTTTTGACATTGTCTTTTGGGAGACAAAAGTGGTCATTCCCCAAGGGAGTCCATATTGTATAGATTTGGGGGATGCCATGAATGGGGGCACCTGAGCTTCTACTCACTCCAATAGCTGGACCAGCTATGTGGATCAGTCTCAGCTCTCATTGGTAAATGACACTTAATGCAGGGGACAGAGGGGAACCACTACTCCTGTATCCCAATGGAGCCAAACCACCTGGTGCACAGCAGGTTCCTAGCATACACGTGCTTAATGAACAATCCAGGCCTAAGAATACTTTTAAAAGTACCACTCTCATGATGGCCGAAAGTGGTCATCTTCTTGCTGACCCTCATGCTTTAATGTTGTTTTATTTCCAATCTTGGCCTTAGTTTCTTACTAAAGTTCCCAATGGGGGAAAAAATCCAGCCATCTGAGATAAAATACACATAGAGGTGGGGTGGGAGCTTCAGGAGCTAACCCATGTGAGCCACAACCTAGCTTCCCCCACGCCCCCAGAAAGGGGCTGGGGGAAGCTAGGTTGTGTCTTGGACCAAAAAGCTGGGGGAAGCTAGATTTGCCTTGGATACAGTGGGAGTAGAATTAGAAGCTTCTAGAAGGAAAATCAGAAGCCAGGGGACAGTCAGAGACCAGGGCCAGTTGGACTGCCTCCCTCACAGAAGGGTTTTGTGCTATAAGGATGATACTTCCTACTACCTGGATAGCAGATGGAGTCTGCTCCCTTGCAGGTGGGAGGCCTCACAGCAAGACACCCATGAGGGGATGAAGTAGGGGGACTCAGAGGGAGACAGATGTGGGTGGTGGGGCAGGACCACTCCAGAAAAAGGGCCTGTCCTCTTCACACATCCTGCCCTTTCTCTCACTCATGGCTTGGACAATTAGCTCTCCTCTCCTCTTAAAACCCCTTGTTCTTAGACCTAAAGTCCCAGCCCAAGTTGGAAGGGAGAACATTCCCAAGACAGAAGGGACCAGGGGGCCCTCAGTGCTCCCAGGCAGGATTCAGGCAGTGCTCAGGGCAGACACTCACCAAGGGTGCTACGCCTGGGATCCACATGGCCAGGGAGTGGCCCTGCTTCAGTGCCCAGGCTGTGGTCTGCATGGTGTGTCGAGAGAGGGTGTTGGCCAGGGTCCCCACTCTGCTCACAAGGCTTGGCTTGGCTTTGGGAGGCTTCTGGGCCCCCTGGTGTCCAGGAACAGAGGCTGGGTATAAATTTGGGAGAAAGAAGGGAAAAAAGATGAGAAAGGGGCTGGGGGAAGCTAGGTTGTGTCTTGGACCAAAAAGCAGTTGCCCTAATTCTAACACAAACTCACTTTTTTTTTTTTTGTGGTCTTGCCATTGAGCCTAGAGGTGCTCTATTGAGCCACATTCCCAGCCCCCCCCCTTTTTAAATTGAGACAGGGTCTCATTAATTTACTGAGGCTGGCCTTGAACTTGCAATCCTCTTGCCTCAGCCTCCTGAGACCCTGGTATTTCACTTTCCCTTTTTACAGATGGGGAGAGTAGACCGATGACTATGGATCACTCTGAAACTCCCTCTGGGCCTTCCTGTTCTTGAGCAGTGGCTGGATGAGCTCTGGTCTCCCACTCTTTCCCAAGTACATGGCTCCCCAGGGAACATGGGTGGCCTTATGGCAGATACCTGACTCTTCCTTGGCTGGAGGGAGGAGGTACTCTACCACCTTCTCAATGCTGCCCAAGGCCAAGTCGGCCCCTCCAGAGGCCAGTCGGCCAGCTCTGGTGTTAGCAGCATACTCCACAGTCTCTTTGGCCATCCCCCTCGCAAGCTCATAGCCAGCCAGAGTGGCCCCCAGGACCTTGTCCGAAGTGCTTGTGATGGGCACACTGATGCTATTTCTAGCACTTCGAAGCCGGGTGGAGATGGTGTCCTTCAGCTCAGAGGCGATCTGGGAAAAGGTGGAGAGAGGGTCAAACACATGGGTCTCCTCCTAGCCCCTGTGAGAACTGCCCTCTCAGAGCCTCAGGCCCTGAGGCCAGCTCCCTGGAAGGCATCATTTAAAGTCCAGGGGACTGGCATCTATGTGTGGGCACCCAGATTAAACTGTGCCAGTCACTTTGACCTCCAGTCTTCCTTACACCACTATGCTGCCTGTCAGGGTCCTGCTCATCCTTTGAGGTCAGCCCCAAAGGCTCCCTGCAGGTGGCATCTATTCTGATACCCTTATGCAAATAAGGCAAAATTCTGTCCTGACTCCTCTGTCCCTCCCTCAGAAGGCTGGTTCCATCTGCATTTATATTGGTTTATAGAGATAGTTGACTTCTTCTAAGTTCTTCACTGAAAAAATTTACCTTCCTCCTAAATAGCCTGGGAGCTCCTCTGTGAAAAGACACTGATGCCTTTATTTATTTATTTTTGGAAGAGTGAAAGGAGTAGGATTTATTCAAGTGTGGAGAATAGAAACAGAACTCTTGCAAGGACAAGAGGGGACCCTAGTAGGGGTCATCCATTTTTGCCCTTTATGTGGAAAATGAGAGTAAAGAGCACTGGCCTGTCCTCCTGTGATCTCTGCTTAGGCTGTGTGGCTGGGCAGTGTCACTGGTTTTCTTATCTGTACAATGTGGGTAACAAGTCTCATCCCAGAGGACTGACAAGCAGATAAAGTGAGAGAGCTCTGTGAATCATGTCATGGTCCCTGAATAGGGCAGAGCTCAGTGAATGTTTATGGGATGGTAGGTGGTTGATCAATTAAATGGATGAGGCCAAAGATTGAAGCTTATTCCCCAAAAGTGCCTAACGCAACCAGCCAATAAACATGTGGCCAGGTCAAGTGATTTTTTTCGATGTCATGGCCCATAAAGAGCTGGATCTCTAGGACATGGGGCTGCAATCTTGGGATCCTGATGAGTGTGACCCATGATCTTAGGTAACTATAGTCACCAAGTGGTGCAAGGCAGACCCATGGAGCCCCAAGTCCCAGGGCCAGATATCAGGAAGTTGTGGGACCCAACCAAGCTCCTGTTTGAGTTTTCCCAGGATTTGTGCCATGACCCCTCTCCCATTTGGCTTCATAGAAAGAGGAAGAACCTGTTGTGCTGCCTTAGGTACAGGAGGCCACCACCAGCCTTGCAGACCGCTTGCCATGGATACTCAGACTCCCAGCTCTCCTTTCTGAGAGGCAGTGACAGCAGTATAGGCATCACTGGGGAAGAGGAAGGGGCTCACCTTTTCAGGAGGGTACTGGAGGGCCGGGATCTTTTCCTCCAGATGGTCCAGGCCTCGGCAGGCCAGCTCATTGGCAGCTATGACTGGAAGGAAAGGGCCGTGTTGGGGTGAGCCCTGCCCCCCACTGTGAAATCTAGTAGTGGCTTCTGTGCCAAAGAAAGCCCTCAGATCCCCAGCTCTCATCCCCAGTTCTGCCGCCTCCCAGGCACCCATGAACCCAAGGCCCTTTGCCATCTTTAGCTTGTGACTCCTTGAGACCAGGGCCAGTTTCAGGGTTGCTCAGACATGCACTCAAAGCTTAGCTCCTGTATTACATGGCTCCAGGCAAGACACACCTGTTGCAGCCTGAGCTTCTTCATTTGTAAAATGTGGTGCCTACAACGCAGGGTGGATCAAGGGAAGGAACTAATACTACCCTCCCCTCTTCACCTTCCTCTCCTGCTCGGAGGCTCTGGGTGAGCATGAAGAAGAGGGAGAACAGAGATGCCAGGTGGGCAGAACTCTGGGGCCTTGGCATTGGCCTTGGTGGAGCCGGGCATAGGCCTGCTTAGCTCTAGAGGCGAAAAACTCCCAGTCACAGCTGGTGCAGGCTCTAGATTGCCCAAAGAGCCTTGCTTTTAACCACTAGGTGTCAAGATGGTGGACAGTGTGAAGAGGGTCACAGGGAAGAGAAAGGAATTCCCCCAGAGAGTGGAGCAAATACCAGAGGATGCTAACATTTCAGAGAATATTGCTCAGGGGCTGTCAAGGACATAAGTTCTAGATACCAGTTTTCAAGGGTATTCATACATGCTCTTTCATTTATTCTTTATCCCAATGTATTATTAATTAATCAACTAATTAATTAATTTTGCAGAATTCTCAAGCAGCAGACAGCCCAAATGACTTGGCTCTTTTCTCCTCCTCCTTTTACTGGTGGTATTTTTTTTTTTCTGGTATTGGGGATCAAACTCAGGGGCACTTAACTACTGAACCACATCCCCAGCTCTTTGAATATTTTATTTAGAGACAGGGCCTCATTAAGTTGTTTAGAGCCTCACTAAATTGCTGAGGCTGGCTTTGAACTTATGATCCTTCTACCTTAGTCTCCCCATTTGCTGGGATTACAGACATGCACCACCATGCCTGGCTAGGTATTGGGGATTTAACTCAGAGTCACTCTGCCACTGGGCTACAACCCCAACCCTTTTGTTATTTTTCTGTTTTGAGATAGTCTTATCGAGTTGTGAGGCAGGCCAGCTCATTGGCAGCTCTGACTGGAAGCAAAGGGCATAGGCCTGAATTTGCTATCCTCCTGCTGCAGCCTCCTGAGTCATTGCAATTACAGGTATGTACCAGTGTGCCCAGCTTAGCTGTCTTCTCATTGGACAGAATGAGACTCAGGGAATGTATTTTAGGAGTTTGCAGGAGGGGAGGCTAACCCAGGGCCTGGGTCATCTTTACAACTGTCCTGCTTGTTGTGTGGAATCCTCCGATACCCACAGTTCTCTACTTAGTATAGTGGAAGGTGCTAGATTTCTCAGCACTGTTGGGATTTCTCTCTGCTCAATCAAAAGCCGTGCCTTAAGAGATCATATTTTTAGATGGGGCAGAAATTTGCATGGGGCAAGTCCATTAAGACTCACATCAACGGTTGTTTTCCACCTTTAGGTCTCTGGTGGGTAGCTCTCTGCTGTCCCCACCTGTTATCAGCCAGAACCATCAGCGGTGGGTGGGTGGGTGGGTGGACTTCCCTCTCCAGGTCAGCCCTAGTGTCTGCTATCCCTGTCTCTGTTCCAGACTCTGTCAGTTCTTGCTGCTGCTGGAGTTGGATCTAGGGTGGGTCTGGTCTGTCACCAGGCCCCACCTTCACCACAACTGGCATAGCTCTGCCCATCCCTTTCCCTGAAAATTCTTTGGCCCATCATTGCCATCTTAGGAAGATGCCAGCTTGGCTGTAGTTGAGGCATGTATAGCTGGAAAAAGAACTGTATTTTTTTTTTTTTCAGTACTAGGGGTTGAATCTAGGGACAGCCTATCACTGAGCTACATCCTCAGCCCCATTTATTTATTTATTTTAAAATTTTGAGGCAGACTCTTGCTAAGTTGCCCAGGTTGGCTTTAAACTTAAGATCCTCTTGCCTCAGCCTCCTGAGTTGCTGGGATTACAGATGTGCACCACTGTGCCTGGCTTGTATCTATATCTTTCTATTGGTAGATGAGAAGACCTGGAGTTGGGGTGAGGCAGATGGGGAGCAGTCAGGCAGATAGATGGGCAAGTTACCAGATGATTAGACAGGCTGACACGTGGTAGTGAGTGTCAGTAGATAGGTGGGCAGTGGCCAAATGCCACGAGGACTCACACTGGGTGGACAGTCTGCGCACCACTGGCTCCATGCTCCAGGCGGCCAAGCTGCTGGCGCCCTGCACGCCCTTCTCGTAGGCATTGCACACGGAGGCCACCAGGGGGTGAGCTTCCTTGGTGCTGGTGTATGTCTTCTGGAAGCACTCACAGGTGCCGCTCACCACAGGCAGCTGCATGACGCGCTGTAGCACATTCTCCTGCTCCTGGCAGGGAAGAAACGTGTACAAGTTAACCATCTCCTTTCTAGCCTCCCGGGAAGGTGACTCCAGGGCTGGGCAGCCATTGGCAAAACTATTCTGAGTCCCAGAAACCTGGGAGGAACCAAGGCCAAAAATGTCTTGGATGCCTTGGTCCTGGGAGCCTGAGGGAGCCCACAGGGAAAACAAGAGCCAGCCTGCTGTGGCCTTCTGGCCATAACCCATCTCTGGGGGGCTGCTGAGGCAATCTGTTCCCAGGAGCCAAGCTGAATTGCAGCACCCCTCCTAGACTTACTGGTAGAGAGCATGTGTTGTCAAAGTGCCTGTCCAGAGTTTTAGTCCACCTCTGAGTGGTGGCTTCATCTAGGCCTATTCCATCCAGGTCTTTCTGAGGTCCTGCCTCCCTGCTCGTGGAAGCTGGTCCAGTGCTAAATACGCTCTCCTTCCCTCCCATCTATTTCTGCCTTTCACGTCTTCTCTGAAGCTTCCTAACTCTCCTCCCTCACATCAGAAGCCTCTGAGTTCTTCCCTGGGCTGTCTCTGTATTGATGTCACTGTGCTGTGATTCCCTGGGTACTTGTTACTCTCTCTCCCAGTAGACTGTGCACTCTGTGTTCTCAGTGCCTAGCCAAAAAAAATGGATCACAGAGCTGCACCTTGTAGAATGCCTAAGTTTTCAGGGCGCCCAGAATGGGAAGCTTGGCCTCCAGGAGGCTCTGTGGCAAGAAGCCTTTCCAGAATTTCTTTGCTAGTCTTGCATTTGCAATTGTAACTGCAATCCATCTTCACCCTCTCCCCATCCTATTCTCTCTTCATTCTGAAACAACCCTGAACTATTCTATTTCATCGTTCATGGATTGGTGTTCTCACATCTGAAGTCAAATATGTCTCCCTTTGAAGGTTACTTCTCTGTACTAAATAAAATAGCTCCAGTTCCTAACTTGGTCCACACCATGGTCTGGTGACCTCCTTCTCTGGATATGCTACAGCTTAGCACTGTCCTTTTTGCCAGTGACTCTGTGAGTCAGCATTATCACCATCACTTTGCTGACAGGGAGACATACTCAGAGATGTGAATGACTTACCTAAGATCACACAGCTAGTAATTGACAGAGCCAGGATTCCAAGTCAGACTTGAAATGGCATATCTGGAATTTGCTTTAAAATAATGTAAGGTGAATTGATAGGGGTGAGGATGAAGTAGTTTGGCTGTGGATTCATGCTAGTGAAGGGTGCATAGGGCCTTACTATATTCTTCTATCTAGTCTTATGATCACAAGAATTCTCCAGATTAAAAACACCCCAGGTGTGACTCATGCTCAAACTCTGCATAGCTTCGAATGTGCCGCTGTGGCAGGGTTCTTTCTGTCCTAGCAGCAAGGACCTAATGCTAAGTTAGCAGGGCCATCAAGGACACACTGGACAGAGCAGGCCACAGTATTTTAGCTTTTCATCCTGATGGTGAGTTGTAAACTGGAACTAGAAAAAGACTTGGATAAGACACAAAAAGTATTTTCTTTAACATTTTGGACAGAGTCTTAAAGGGTTATTTGAGACAAAACCAAAGGGAGAAGCAGATGCTGGGAAAGGAGGAAAACTGTTAAGATATTACTGCATATGACCATTTTACGCCTCTCTGTGTTGTGGGCTTCAGTATAAAACTTAGCATGTGAACCCTTGTGCAGAGGTTAATTGAAGCCTACTTGGTGACGAGATAGGTTTATAATTTTTAAGTTTCACTAACCATTTAAACTGTGCCCAAATAATAGAGGTTTTGCCAAGAGGCATCAGGCACACCTAAAAGGATCAAAATCACTCCAAGTCACAGTGAAAATCGCAACAGCTGTGAACTAGATGAACCATTCATAGTATAAATGATGCTGGAGTCACAAACTTTAGTGGCTCTGCATGAATACATTCAGCTGGCTGGTGGTGAACAAAACAGGGACTTATGCAGCAGGGTTTAGAATATGGTAGTTCCCTTCCTTTCTATTCTTCCCCACCCCCAGCCAGGATTTGTGCCCTTTTTTCCCCCCAAGGGCTTAGGTTTTTGTTTTTTTTAATTTTTTTTAAGTTGGAGATGGACACACAATATCTTTATTTATTTGTATGTGGTGCTGAGGATCGAACCCAGTGCCTAACACATGCCAGGCAAGTGTGCTAATGCTGAGCTACAACCCCAGCCCAAGGGCTTAGTTTTTAATTGACATTTTTTCCCCCTCCAGAGCCTCCCATAGCCCTCTGCAAAAGATAGTGAGAGCAGGAATAACTGAAACATGGTCAATGACCTAGTTTATAGTTTAGACATATCTTGCTCCAGCTCCCCCGAATCTCCCTCCTGGCTCCTTCCTCCCATCAGGTGTCCATTCCCCACCCCGCAAGAGCCCAAGTTACTCACAGGAAGGTCTCCATCCAGCAAGGTTGGGCCCTTGTTGACTGCCATCCTAGTTCTTCACGCTGCAAAGCAGAAAGTCCCAGGTCCGTCAGAGGCCCGCAGGCTTGCAATCCACAGTTCCTTACCTCCCATGGCCACCCACTGGACCCAGGCGGTCTGGGGGCACAGATTGTCATTTCTTAGAGTTCCAGAGCACCAAGTTGCTTCTCACCTACTGGTCAACACCATGTTTCTTATAAAGGTTTACGATAAGAAATGAAAAAATGCAGGTGGCCATGAGAGATAAAAGGTTTTAGATGAAGTACTGGGCTCTTAAATGAAGATCCAAAAGAGACTAAAAGAATTAGTTTCAGGGCTGGGGATGTGGCTCACGCGGTAGCGCGCTCGCCTGGCATGCATGCGGCCCGGGTTCGATCCTCAGCACCACATACAAACAAAGATGTTGTGTCTGCCGAGAACTAAAAAATAAATATTAAAAAATTCTCTCTCTCTCTCTCTCTCTCTCTCTCTCTCCCCCCCCCCCCCCAAAAAAAAAAAAAAAAAAATTATTTTCTGGTTTACTCTCCTTTATAAAAACAAACAAACAAACAAAACTGTGGTTTAATTCCTCTGTTTCTAAGACAGCATCGTGTCCCTCTATAACTCAGCTAGGCAAGTAACCAGTCACTCATAAAACTAGCTATTTCAGCTGTGTTCTGTAAAAACTATTGACCACCAAACAGCTACTCTAGAGTCCTGGTAATTCACCTTGAATCTTTCCCTCAGTAGTTTCCCTGCAGGTCTCTTCATCCCCAGTAAAAGTCCCAAGAGGCCTTTACCCTCAACTCCTTCCTTTTAATACTCATAAACAAGCCAGGTAAGGGGAATCCCCCAGGATCCCCACACTCACTGCAACCGACCACCACCTCAGCCTCACAGAGCCCACACTGTGGAGTGCCTCCTCGGCAGGAACACTTCCAGCCACTCCAGGGAGTCTTGGGCAATGCTACCAGGCCTCTCAGCTAGAGGAGGGCAGAGAAGAAGAGAAAGTTGGAGCAGCCTGTTGCCATGGCTATCTGACCCAGGGTCCCTTGGGCTCATCCTAACTTCTTTAAGGATAGTTAGCCAATGAGAAGGTAGATTGCAGAGCTGAAGGACACCCCAGGCTCAGAGAATTCATTATTCCAGAGTCATGAGGAATAATTCTATAACATCAGTCCTCAGTTGACAAAACTTTTGCTTTTCATAAACAAGGTATTAACACATATGTCATTAAATCCATAAGCTCTAAAGTTCCAATTATTCTGTAATCTTTGATCCTTTTCCCCACGAGGGTCCTGTTGGACAATTTTCAGTTTGTCTGATGCTTTCTTATTTACTTCAAAAGTGAATATTGATGGGGCTGGGGGTGTGGCTCAAGCGGTAACGCACTTGCCTGGCATGCGCGGGGCGCTGGGTTCGATCCTCAGTACCACATAAAATAAAAATAAAGATGCTGTGTTTGCCGAAAACTGAAAGATAAATATTAAAAAATTCTCTCTCTCTCCTCTCTCTCTCTCTCTCTTTAGAAAAAAAAGTGAATATTGAAAAGTATGACTTAAACCTGCACTGAGACGCAAAGGCCTCTTGGGACTGAATGTGCTAGTCTTTGATTATGGGAGATAAATGCTCTCAGTAAAAATGAGATGGAGCTGGGGTCAAGTCCTTGAGAATATGGGCTTTGAGGGAGCAATTTCAACCTCTGTAAATTCCTAGAGTCCAAGGAAACATGTTGAACTTTACCTGGCCTAAGATGCCACCAAAATGGGCAGTGGGAAAGAGGTTTTGTTCTCCTGAGTCTAGAGAGTGACAGTATTGACAAGATTCTATCACCAACCAACAGCACTAGGACAACCAAGAACTATCACTGGGTCATCCTTTCCTCAGCAAGAACTCAAGTTCTAGTTCCTGGCTTCCAAGATGATGGAGGACAGGGTGCAAGCCAGTGTCTTCAGATTGTCTAAGAAGGGCTCCTTAAATAAAAATAGATAATAGGGCCCAAAGAGGTGACCCATGCCTGTAATTTCAACTCAGAAGTTAGAGGAGGAGGATTGCAAGCTCAAGCCCAATGTGGGTAACTTAGCAAGACCTAATAATAATAATAGGATAATAGAAGGACAGCACTTATTTTCCCTATTGTTGGTAGAAATACATGTATTGACTCTGCTAAGTTGTATGATATGGAAACAGGAGAAAGGGGCAGGGGTGGAGTGAAACAGTACTTTATGATGAATCTTTGGTACTAAAGGGTGTTTCGATAATAAAGTAGGAATGGGAAGTTATAAAAAGGAAAAGATAATCAAGCAGGGAGGCTCTGAAAGGAGTAATAACTTTGTGATACATTTAATACTTCTTGATCCAACCTGGACATCTCTGTTGTAAGATAGTAATGGAGAGGACAGGAAGTGTTTTAAAGAGGTACACTCTGTCCTCACTTCAAGGTTCAGGAAAAATTATCTGGGGCTTTGTGTCTGGGTGACAACCTGGGCCAAAGGGCAGTTTTCAGCCTCAGGAGTAGTGGCTTTGGGCCAGAGGGAGTAGAGGGCTCTGTGCCTGAAAGCTCTGCTGACAAAGCTGGGCTTTTAGCCACTTCAGCTTGGATTCTAGAATGTGGGTGAGAGGTGAAGAGTGGTGAAAGGGCTGAGGAAAATCCCAAGGGAAGAAGAGCCAGCCTCCAGTAGCAGTTGTCAAGACATGGAGCTCTAGCTTTCTTCTCCACCACCACAAGAGCTGGAACCTTGGTAATCTTGTTCACAGGTGAATCCTCCAACTCCAAGGCAAGCATGGACTCAAATATTTGTTGCTGAATAAGTAAATTTTCAGGCAACAATGTCAGTTGTGAATGTGGTGGCCTGTATGTCTATTAGGGAAATTGTGGGTATTTGGAAACCCTCATGAATGTGGAGGCTACCTTGGAAGGAGAAAGATGCACAGGGAGGACACCAGGACACCACGGTCCACGCAAATTCTAGAAGACATGGCATTTTTTCCAACTCCCCACCACCCACTCTCCTTGCAGAGGACAAAGTCATCAAGATTGAAATCAATGAAACATGCCCCCATGAGCTCAAGGCAGTGTGCTTCAGGCAGAGGCCATAGCACCAGGCTGCTTCAAGCACCGCTCCAGGATAGCAATGTGGCTAGAGCTTCTTAGACGGAACCTCTCAACCCAGGACCTCCACATCTAAACCTCCCTGCAGTCCACCTTCTCAGCTTTCATCTCCCTGCCAGAGCTCAGGGACTGTCTGTGTTCCTGTTAACTCTTTTCTAATCCCAGAACACATTCACAGATACATGAATCAGTTTTGTCTAGAAATTTATTTGGCATAATTAATCTCTTACAGCAGGGAATCTGGACAAGATTAAAAAACAGTTATTTAAACTTTTTTATTTGCCCTGCTTTAGCAGCTTTCATTTCTCTTAAAACTCCCAAAATATTCTTTGTCAAACCTCCTTTATTTATTTATTTATTGGCACTGAGGGCTGAACCCAGGGGCACTTAACCACTGAGCCACACTTTGAAGCAGATTCTAAGTTGCTTAGGGCCTCACTAAATTGCCTAGGCTGGCCTTGAACTTGTGATTCTCCTGCCTTAGTCTCCTGAGCTGCTGGGATTACAGGTGGGCACCACCATACCCAGCTCAAATCTCTTATTTTGACTGATCAGATTAAAAACAGCCAGTCACTGGGTGCACTGGTATACACTTGTAATCTCTATTTGGGAGGCTGAGGAAGGAGAATCAAAAGTTCGAGGATAGCCTAGGCAAGTCAGCAAGACACTGCTCAAAATTTTAAAAAGGGCTGGGGATGTGACTCACTGGTAGAGTGCTTGCCCAAGATGTGCAAGACCCTAGGATGGATCAATCCCTAGCACCCCTGCCCTACTACACACACACACACACACACACACACACACACACACAAACACACACGAATAACAGAGAGCCAAGGACCAGAGTCTACTTTTCAAAAAACTCGATCATATTTCTGGGAACCTTACTCAGTGCATATTTTTCTGATTTCCATTCAGATAAATGACATGGCTTTACTTTAGTGTTGGCCTCCTACCTACTGGCACCCTATCTCTCCACTTCTCTTCCCTCAAACTAAAGGACCTGGATTTACAAATAAGATAACATTATTTATAAATAAATAGGAACACAAGTAAATGCTTCTGTGTCCTCTTTATTGGCCCCTTACTGCTCCCTCAATGACCCTAAGATCTAAGAAAATCATGGTTTTCCTACATTCACAAGAATAGTCATGAAATTTTAGCCTGCATACGTTTTGATGAAAATTAATGTGGAATTGCCCAAACTGTTACATGGTTTTAAATAAAATAATCTGGATGATAGGTCTAGGTAGCTTTAGTTTTGTAGGACAAAATATAGACCATCATCAAAAGTTCCAAATTTGAGAAGGGTAGAGGTCAAAAGCACAGGATTCTGGAGTCTCATACTTGTACTCAATCATGAAGGCAGTGAGTTGTCACAGAACTCACTCTAGAAGGTCAAAGGAATGTCCTGACCCAGGTTTTATTTGCTTTTTTCAGGGTCAATTTTCTTATCTGTCACAATCTACATAATAGGCAGGATGTGACCTTCCACCTATTTTTCTCTTTTGTTTACTTCTGATTTCTGCTTACTCACTGCATTATTAAAGGGTTCTACCCACAGACATATTTACACAATGAAGGTGCCTGATATGTTTCTGATTCTACTTATGAACAAAAGGACAAAAATACAGTGATGGGGTTGTTTGGGGCTGTAGCTCAGTGGTAGAGCACTTGCCTACCACATGCTAGGCACTGGGTTTGATCCTCAGCACCACATGAAAAAAATAAAATAAAATAAAGGTTATTGTGTCCATCTACGACTAAAAATATTAAAAAAAAAAAAAAAGTACAATGATGGTCAAGGCCAACAGGTGAGGAGGCTTTCAGCCCAGCTCCCCTCCATCCTGCTACTGACAATCTTGGAGGCAGGTATAGCTGATAGAAGCGGTTCGCTATCAAATCTGAAGGTGCTGTGCATCAATCAGATCTATGACAATCATGTGAAACCAATAATCCATATAACCCAATCTATACGTATATTAGTGTTCACGTATTAGTTTTATCGGGTCTTTTTCAATTTTTTTCCTTTCAATTTTTATTCATGTGGCAAATGCTAAGTGCCTACTATGCACATAAGAGATGCTCAGTAAATGTTAGGTGAATGGAAAATATTCAGAAATTCAGAAGTCATTCCAGCACTCTAAAAACACCATAAATCTTCATGTTCCATTTTTGGCCCCACCTCAGCTCACATTACAGGTCATAAATGCTCATGTGAACAAAAAACATAAGCAAGATATGACATGATTTGTGACCGATGTAAATGTTTGTTTCATGAAGATGTCTTCTTTAAACAGTCACTGGTCCTGAGCCTACCAACACCCTAGAGGATCTTCAGCTTCATCTGAGGATAGGCCACAGTGATGATACCTGCCACAGAGGATACAAGACCTCCAAGCCCAATGATGCCTGGGTTGGACCTATAGATCCCCATCTGGTCCAAGGGGATCAGGATGTCACATAAGTTCTTCACTGTGTCCAGAAGCAAGGGAGGATGCTGCTTCAGAGATCGGAATAAAAGAAGAAGGAAGGACTGAAGCCATTCTGTTTCTTCATCAGCCAAGCTGTACCCAAAAGGATTCTGGGATGACTTCTCTCTCATTGCCCTGTCATGTGCAAGCCGTCCCATCTGCAGGGAGATTTCATACAGATCCCTGACCAGGCTCAGCAGGAGAAAATAGTAGTAGTGGCGGGTGGCCCATGTTTGCCACTTCTCTTTGTTGATGCTCATGGTGAGACCCACACTCCTCACCCAGAGAATGGTGTCACAGATGAAATAAACCACACGGTTCAGGTTGGCTAATGTTAGGCATAAGCGGGGCACTGGGTCGGTAGCATGAATGCTCTGCTCAGTCGACTGGACAGCATGTACCACATTGCCTAATCGGAACCCTGCAAAAAGAACCCACACAGTTAACAGTTACTCATTTCTAGGTATTGGGCTGCAGAATCTCTGTGTCAGCATGAGGATCCAGCATGGTATTTTAATAATTGATGATTGTTTGAAATTCAGTCTTAGTTTAGGAAAGGAGGACTTTATAGTATGTTGAGGACACCTAAAATGATGCTGGAAGGCAAAAAAGACAGTGACTTTTAAAAATTTATCTCCTCCATTCCAGTGAGTATCTTAACATTCACTTTAGTCCACTCCAGGCATGGTTGGTTAATCATGAGCATGGGTTGTTACAATGGAACATTACTACCTCCACTTCTTCTGAAGGAAGGACAATCATGATATGAATCCATGTACAACATTCTCTTGGAATCTAATGCCTTACACTTTATTTAATTTCCAGACAAAAATACTGCCTTTTGAAAAAACACCATTATCATTTTGCTATTTCTCTGGTCCAAACCCTCTTTACTGCCTATGGTCAAGAAGACAAAGTGGAGACGGTAAGATCGTAATGTGGGCTCTGGATGAATTAACTAACCTCTGCAACTGCATGTCTGTATGAAAGCATGCACTTCAATTAATGAGTCAACAAGTATTTATGGAGTACCTATAGAATGAGTTCTGGTCCTAAATATTATGAAAGATACAACAGAACTACTCAGTAAGGGCTCAGATGTGGCTACTCTCAGAACACTAAGAATCTCAAGAGTGCTTGGAATTATTTTACCAAAAATAACACAAAACAGGGCATGTCATGACTGTTTTAGTATACAGATTTGGGTTCTGATTCTGGTCTTGCATTAACTGGCTGAATGACCTTGAAGAAACCCCTTCTGGACCTCTAAAGGACCTCTGAGCTCCACCAATCTAAAGAATCTAAAACAGAATTTCTAATTGTGGCTTCAAGCCAAATCTGGAAAAGCTCACCTCACCCTTCCCAGGCTCTGCTTGACAGCTTAAGTCTTCTCTGTCAAACCAGTTTCTTAGTTTGACACTGATCCTCCAACACATGATTTGCTTTTAACAGTTCTGAGCCTTTGCTGGAGGAAACTGCCTCTCCAAACACACCTCAATTTTTCTACCTTCTCTAAAACATCTTTCTTTACCCTGGTCACCATATCCAGCACTCGTCTTAATGTTTATAGTATGATCTTATTTTTCCTACAAAGTTAAGAACTGTCTCTTTATGAAGTAGGTGCTCAAAAACAACTGATCAATATGTGATGGTCTACATCCCATTCTAATGCTTCTGCTAGCCTGCTGTGACAACTTCTGGTTCTTGTCAACAGTGAGGAGCAAGACATATCATTGCTATATGAAATATGGGATTTCCTAGGATGATTTATTATGAAAGTTAAGTTAAATGAATGCAAAACACTGCTTCATTTTTTTGCCTTTAAAATGAAACTACCTTGTAAATTGTCTAAGAAAATGTATTCCTCCAATCCTCTAGCAATCCTCAAGAGAAGAAGGTGGCCTAGGTCATTGCTATTCTGTTCTATAAAACAAAGGTTCACAGGAACTAGAAGCTCATGCCAGGGATTGCCAAGATGTTTTGTGGTTGTAAGAACAAAAGATGAGCTAACACATTTTATGTCCCACTTGTTATGATCAAGCAGAAGGATCTAGCATAGCACCAAGCGTGAACACAGGATGATGTATATGAATGGTCTGCAGGCAAACATTCAAATTTTGGGGCCTGGAGTTCCATGAGGCAGCCTTACTGGTCAACTTCATCAATAAACTTGGTTGACTTGAAATTAAAACCTTGAAAGCGCACTGTGAATTACAGTGTCTGAAGCTGAGGATTCTAAACCAGGAGCCACTGTTCCTCAAGAGAAAGAGTACTTACATTTACGCCCAGTGCTCACACTGGACTCCAATTTCTTGAGCTTCATTACCACCTTCTCTTTGCCAGCTTTAGGCTCTAACAAATATCTAAGCAACATGCATGTGTATTGAGTGGCTCTGAAATGGAAAAAAAAATGAGGAAAATGATTGACCAGCCAAATAAAACTTAATTCATGAAGTAAAGGAAAAAGAAACATCTCTCTGAAGACAAAGTTTCTAAGAGGATTTCTCCTCAGCAGCTCTTCCAAGAGCAAAATTCTGCAACAGTCATTCTGCAGAGGGCCAAAGGGTAGAACATGTAATGGAAATGCAAACCAAAGGTTATTATGAAAAAGGACTCTGCAATAATGCAGTGAACAGCTCCCCAGAAGGCTCCTTACTGGCACAGAAAAATGAATGTAGTCAAAGTGGAAATTGCCCCAAAGTCTCCCTGTGAAGTCTGCAAAGATCCATACATGTTATTTTCTCCAGTGTAGAAAAAAAATCATTCTATACATTCAAATTTCTTTTTTTTAATATTTATTTTTTAGTTTTAGGAGGACACAATATCTTTATTTTATTTTATTTTTTTATGTGGTGCTGAGGATCGAACCCAGTGCCTCACACATGCCAGGCGAGCGTGCTACCACCTGAGCCACATCCCGAGCCCACATTCAGATTTCTTAAATTAACCATTCTACCACATAGTTAACCTACTATTTATGTGAGAGGACACAAAATTCACAATTCAAGATCCAAATGAAAATCTACAGTCTGAATATTGTTTAATCTTTTAAAAATTAAGGACAAAATACACACCAGTACACAAATTAGTATAGACATATTTTATATTTGCCTTTCAAAACTTATAAGTATTATATATAAAATACAGACAGAATCCTGTTTAATAATACTATATACTCAATAAAGAGAGTGCCTACTTTAACAATGACTTACTGATAAATATAACAAATGAGAAATTGGATATCACAGAAACATCCAAATGCATCTGGCAGTCTAGTCAATAAAATTAAGTGCCAGTTCCTATTGTCGTATAACTGCATTTGAGTCCTTTTTATGATATAAATATTAATCTCAAAAAAGTGGCACATTTTCCAAAATTTTAGTAATTAAGTAAAAGAAAAGAAATGGTTGGGGGTGTGGTTCAGTGGCCGAGCACTCCCTTAGCATGCACAACACCCTGGGTTTGAGTCTAGTACCATAAAAAAGAGAGGGAGAAGGAGGAGGGGGAAATAGGGGAAATAGAGATCTGTCTTCTCTCCTCTTTTTTTTTTTCATATTGGGGATTGAACCCCAGCATGCTCTACCACTGAGCTGCATCCCCAGCTCTTCTTATTGAGACAGGATCTTGCCAAGGTGCCCAGGCTGGCCTTGAACCTGGGATCTTCCTGCCTCAGCCTGAGTCGCTGGGCTTATAGGTGTGTCACTGAACCAGGCACTCTGCCTTTTTAAAAGTGTGCTTTCTGATCAGAGGGCTCAAGCTACTCATGTCAGATTTGATCTGACAATAGGAGTAGGTCTGAAAATGGCATTATTTGATGAATACCAGCTTGTTCATGGAGGTTATATAGATCATTAAGAGGGCTGGGAAATGAACACTAGAGATCTGATCTTGCTGAATAAATATATCCTAAGTGATTATTTAATTAACACCCTTCTTGATAAAATTGCAGGATATATTCTGGGTATATTGGAATTATAGTTTTCTATTTTAATAAAGGTTGTATATATTGCAACTATTTTGAAAAGCTATCAAATTAATTAGAAAGATTTAGCACTTAAGAGGTGGGCCCTGGAATCTTTGTGGATTTGTATCTCTCAACTCTGCTGCTTAGTACCCATTAACCTCCTTCCGTCTCAGTTTCCCATCTGTGAAAGTATCTACTTCACAGAGTTGTCATGAGGGTTAAATAAGTTAATATGGGCAAAGCATTGAGAACAAACTTGATACAGTTTGCTTACCAAAGTCTCATTGGGGCTATTCTTACTGGTGTGTTTTTGTGTTAGCACTTGAATACTGTTAAGTAAAACTGCAACAGTAACTATTGTGACTATTCTGCAGGAATGAACTAAAATACTAAAAGAAACATCATGAGCAAGGATTAATAATCAAAACAAACTGAATTTTCAGGGGCACAGCATGTGCCTTGTAGATGCAGTTAGTTCTAAGGGCTCTCTCCACTGTGTTTTTAGAGTTTATACAATTATTTCACACTCGGTATGTGAATCACACAGATTGGGCAATAGTGTAAGATAAAGAAAATAAATAAAACTTCTGTTTCTCCATAAGCATTTTGAAATACCCCCTTGAGGGGGTATTTGAAACAAGTGGTTTGCTTCCCTAGTCACAAATGCCAACCCAAAATTTCTCTTTAACCCACTAAGTCCCAAAGTTTCAATTCTGCAAATATTTTTTTTTTTTAAATCGACATGGGCTTATTAAAATACGCTGGAAAAGATCATCTATCCTTTATAGATATTTTCATATATATTCAAACACTCTATTCATTCACCTATTACTTTTCTCAAAAGAACAATTAAAATATAATATTTATTTCAAAGGGACTATAAATGCCCATTTCAAAGTTACAATTCTAAGTTTTAAAAACAGGTTTTGTATATAGGGCTATGGGACATAATGAGTTAAAAGAAATCCCTTGGAAGAATGTTGGGTGGGGAGAACTCGGTTTTCCTTTACCAGGAGAAGAAAGTTCTGAGCGAGGAGGGTTGGTGGAGGGGTGTCACACAGCCAGCGGCCTCTAGGCGGCTGGGGTGCACAGCCCCTCGGAATTGAAGGTGAAGAGGGGCTCTTGTACCAAACTTCCTCAGCGGGAGCTGGAGGCATCCTGCTTGTTATTAGCTCACTCCTCCTTCTCGGGTGCTGAGAACCCAGAGAGGAAGGGATGGAGGCCGCCGGCACTGACCTGAAGAGTCGGTCCCGACCTTGGGTCTGGTTGGTGAAGCGGATGAAGGTGTCCATGGCACCGGCCCGAGGCAACACGGGGTCGGTCGTGGGTCCTCTGGGGCTCAGCTGGCCCCTGGGGGGCATCCGGGTCCGGGCAACTGCGGGGTGGGAGGGGCTGACTCTCTCCGCCCACGTGAGGCCTACACGCCTCCTAAGAGCTGCTAGCGGGTTTCCGGTCGAAACCGGAAGTAGCGGTTACTAAGGCGACACCCGGACGCCTAGCCCGGTGAGCTCAACCTCGGATCCTAGGATCGGGTGTGGCGGCTCTCTTGATGTTCAAGGACTTCGGATTGCCAGCTGGGTCTCCAAACCGAACCGTGAGGGGCCCGCCTCCCCGTTCTCAGGCGTTCCAAGGGCTCTGCTTCCCGGCAGATCTCAGGCGCTCAGGAATCCCAGGGAGAATCCCAAGGGTCTCCCCTGGGCCTTTGCTTGGGGAGGGCATCATTTCTCAGCGCAGTGCCTCCACCCCCCCCCACACCCCCCCCCCCCCCCCCCCCCCCGCCACCTTCCCCGCTCCAGGTCAGATAATGGTTAGAGCTGAGCCAATACTTGGAGTGTATTTCTAACTTGAGAGCCAGGTAAATTATGTGAGATTTTTCTCTTAGGATTATTGAACACTGAAAGATGATTATCTGGGGAAGCCTTAAAAGGGTCGACATGCACAAAGTAGAGGTAAAGTAGATTACAATGAAGTTACACCACTGAATCTTCATTCGATGGGCCTTAATTTTGTAAAATGCATCCCCTACAGCCACAAAGTAAGGCTCTCTGTTTTTTGTTTTGTTTTGTTTTGTTTTTAAAGAGAGAGAGAGAGAGAATCTTTTTTGTAGATGGACACAACACAATGCCTTTATTTTTATGTGGTGCTGAGAATCGAACCCAGGTCACAACCTTGCTAGGTGAGCTCTCTACCGCTGAGCCACATCCAGCCCAAGGCCCTCTGTTTTTGTAATCCTCTTCCTCTAATATTTTCAGGTCTGGGGTAAGCTTACAAATGGAAAGCCATATCATATGGTTAAATATTTAAAAAGTATAAATCGAGTAACAAATTGTTAGATAAAATCTTTTGTTCTCCTGCTTTGGCAAATGTACATTTATATGTATAAGGCCAGGTTCACTTTTAGATTTCTTAGACTCCTTGAAAACCTGGAAACACAACTGGAATGTGGTAATGTAGCCACAACTAGACCCCTGACTTTTCCCACCCCCCTTTCTCTTCTGGTCTTTTACTCCCACCTACATCGCTAAAAGGGTGCATATAGGGTGTGGATACTCCAAGACACATCCATGTTCTGCCCATGCCCTATGCAGCTATGGGCATCTTTCAGGTCTAGGGGTGCTTAACAACGGAGAATACCTCCAGGAAGAAATCAGAAAGACTCATTCAGGTCCTGGCATCTTTTGGGCCATAATTTTAGAGGTGTGGGTATCCTGAACCTGGTCTTAATTAGAAGAGGGAAACTAGACTTTGGGTAAGTATATTCTCTCAGCCCCATGGATTACTCATGGTTTGCAGAGGGACATGCCTTTAAGAAGGATAAAAGTAGCCAGGTGTGGTGGTGTAGGTCTGTATTCCCAGTAAGTAGGGAGGCTGATGGAGGAGGATCATAAGTTAAAGGCCAGCCTCAACAATTTAGCAAGAGCCTGTCTCAAAATGAAAACAGAGCTGGAGATAAAGCTCAATGGTAAAGCACCTCTGTGTTCAATCCTAATGACAAAAAAAGAAAAAGAAAGCCACATGTATTCTCCCTGCATAGCACAGGACCAGCAGTGCTGAAAACTATAAGAATTTGTTGACTTCTGGCCACATAGTACCAACTGTTGTGCTAAGTCTAGGCCTAGGGCAACAGGTTAGTAAGTTACACTGTAAATTGATAAGTACATACATTAATGTATTTGATGATGAGATGAGGAAAATGTGCTTTTTAAAAAATATATATATAGTTTTTAGTTGTAGATGGACACAATGTCTTTGTTTATCTTTATGTGGTGCTCACCCAGGGCCTCACACATGCTAGGCAAGCGCTGTACCACTGAGACACAACCCCAGCCCCCCAAAGGTGCATTTAACAAATTTTTAAAGTATATATTTTTTAGTTGTAGTTGGACACAATACTTTTATTTTTTAAATTTATTTTTATGTGGTGCTGAGGATCCCAGTGCTTTGCACATGCTAGGCGAGCGCTCTACTGCCAGGTCACAACCCCAGCCCTTTTAAACAGATTTTTATCTTTTGTTTTCTATGCATGTGGCTTTTTCTATCTTGATTTCTTTCATTTAGCATGATGCATTTGAGTTTCATTCATGTTGTTCATATCAATAGTTTGTAATTTTTATTGCTGAGAAAGATTCCATAATGTGAATGTGCCATAGCTCATTATCCATATACCCAAGTGAAATACATTCATGTTGTCTCCAGTTTGGGGCAATCACAAATAAAGCTGTTATAAATAGAAAGTACAGATTTATATATGAAATATAAATTTTATTTTTTCTTGCATAAATACATAGAAATATGATTGCTGAATTATATGATACATTTAACTGACTGCTAAAATTTTCCAAAATAGTTGTACTATTTTTATGGCCACTAACAATGTGCAAGAGTTTATCTGTTTGTCTACTGGTAAATATTTGAATTGTTTCCACTGTGATGTGCCTACAAACAAAGCTGTAATGACATGGGCAAGTCTTAGACATACATTTTTCAGTTCCCTTCTATCACCCCTAGGAGTGGACTAACTGGATATTATGGTATGGATGTATATAAATGTATACACATGTGAGGCAAGTGCTCCTTCACTGTGCTACAACACCAGCCCTGGTAACTATGTATTTAACTTTTTAAGAAACCCCCAAACTCTTCCAAACTGTACTACTTTCTCAGCATCAGTATATGAGCATTCCAGTTCCTTCATATCCTTTACAATATTTGGTATAGTCTATTTTTTAAAATTTTAGGCATTCCAATAATATGTAATTGCATCTTATGATTTTAATTTGAATCTCACTAATACCTATGACACTGAACATCTTTGAATGTTCTTTTTGCCATCTGCATACCTTCTTTCGTTAAGTGTCTGTCTTTTGCCCATTTTTAAAAACTGAAGTATTTATTTTCTTATTTTGAGAGTTTTTAAAATACTTTGGATACAGCTGGGCTTGGAGGGCATATGCCTGTAATCCCAGTGACTCTGGAGGCTGAGGCAGGAGGATTGCAAGTTCAAGGTCAACCTCAGCAACTTAGCAAGACTCTGTCTTAAAAAAAAAAAAAAAAAGAGCTGGGGATGTGGCTCAGTGGCCACATCAATACCCACCCCCCCACGCCAAAAGCCAGCTGGCAATTATGAGATTTCCTTCCTGGCTGGTGGCATGAACAGGTTACTACTCTCACTGATTACTTCAGGTGTTTCTTTCAACTGGAGGGAAACATCACAAGTGGACTCCAGTGTGGAAGAAAAGATGATGATAGCATCAGGGCCTTTATATGACTCCCCTGGTCCTCAGACACTCTCATGGTGCAACTCTACTCCACTACATGTTACAGGTGTCCCAGGCTCCCCATTAAATGCTTTTTTTTTTTTCAACTGTAGCATTGGGAGTCCTTTTTAAACACAATTTTGAGTTTTCTGAAGTACAGATTACTTGTTTTCTCTTTGAATTTTTATATATACATACAGACCAGAGTTGATAAGTTATAAGTATTTTTGTAAAAAATGACTATTTTGATTTTGTAGGAGCGTTTTAGTCAGTAATTTTTTTCAGGTCTCGGACATTTCTTTTTGTACAGACTTTTGTTTTGCTTTTGTGGTGCTGGGGATTGAACCCATGGCCTCTTGCATGCTAGACAAGTGCTGTACCACTATACATCCCCAGCCTAGCAGACATTTTTATAAACCCTTGAAGAATCTCGTGGGTCCTGGGCCCTGTGCCTGCAGATCTCCTGTGTGGCAGCAATGGGAAAGTGAGAAGGCAACAGATTGGACAGTGAGGACTGATGATGTTGAACTGAATCTCATTGGGGTTGAGGGAAGAGAAAGAAAGAGTATAGTCATGGCTTCTCACCAGGCTGACTTGAGCACAGTCATTTATCAATACAGAGAAGCAGAAGAAGGCTTTGTTCTAGGAGAGATGGTGAATTCCATTTGGGACAAATGACAGCTACTGTCCTATCAGTGACAAAAGGCAACAGGGTGCCAAACTCCCCTCCTTCTATCATATCAAATATCTTCCTGGGTTGGTCAGAAGTTAGCTGTCTCTTATGATATCCTTCTAATATGAAGACCACATCTTAGGAATGTAGTAGCAATCCTGTGATTAAATAAGGAAAGTGCCAGTATCTGGAATAAATAATCCCCAGAGGCCACTGTGCTAGAGAAGTGTGGTGTGCTGACTTCTTGCTTCCCTATTTTTCTCAAATTTCCTTTGCTTATTTCCCTTCTCAGCTTTCAGAGTTTCACAGAAGTTTCCTGTACCACCTTCTATGATGTCTACCAAGAGAAGTCAGACCCAGAAGATGAGGCTGCCTACATTTACTCAAAAGGTACCACTGGAGGTGCCATCCCCAACAGAGAAGGACTGGTCTAAGGATAACATAGAGGATTATGTCATCAAGGACCTAGATCAGGGGGTGGATTCCCTGCCTCAGCCTTATCGAATGATCAATAAGCTGGTGAATCTTGTGTTTGACTTGGCATGGGAACTTATTGAAGAGAGGGATACCTTGAAGGAATCTGAGAGCGATTGCATCCAGCTCACTATCTACCCTCCACTGACAGAAGTCCAGGTAGGGAACCGGCGGCTGACCAGAAGTCTCTGTTTCTCCATTGAACTTTTGTTTTTTGACATTTTTCTTAGTTGTAGTTGGACACAATACCTTTGTTTTATTTATTTACTTTAATGTGGTGCTGAGGATCGAACCCAGGGCATTGCACACGCTAGGCAAGCGCTCTACCGCTGAGCCACAACCCCAGCCCCTCTGTTGAATGTTAATATGTGAAAACACCTGATCCAGGGAAGGTCTTCCTACTAGAAACCTTCATTTAATAAGACAGGTGCAATTTTGAAAGGCTGTATGCATGCTGATGTTGATTAAAATAGTTCAGGTAACTGTTATTGATATTGAGAAATCTTCCCTAACGAGTTAATCTGCTCTCTGGCTTGACAGTTGCAACTAGCCAGTGCCTCTTTTGTTGTTCTTCCCATAGTGCACTAGAAAAAGTGTGGGGCCGTGGTCATGTTTAGTGTTGCAAATGTGTATTTATTCTTTGTTTTCTCTGGCCTCTTTCCCCTGAAAGTGAAATGCTATGAATTTCTTAATACATGGGTAAGAGTTTTAGATGAACACTGTGTCTGGGGATGATCTTTGGAGGAAAAGCTCTTAAACCTTTGAAAAGTACCTTGTGTTTCTTGAAGATAGACAGTGAGAATGAAAATAATTCTGTTTTCTTTGTTTGTTTTTTTTTTTCCCCCAGCTAAACAAAATGCCCAATTGTATGGCTATTTCCCAAGACTATGTATTTATTGGAGTAGGCAAAGGATTCTTCATCTATAATCTGTACAACACTAAACGGATATGTACTTGGGAGAAACTTAAGGTTGATGTCACCTCCATCTGGGCCACAGATTTAGGAAATGAAATACTGATTGCTCTCCTGGATGAAATGGGTATTATTTGTACTTCATCTTTCTTTTTAGCTTAATATATAGGTATCTGCAGTTTAATTTGAGCTCCTTTCCAGGCATGAGTGGGGCCAAGCATGGATTTTTACCCCTGGTCATACAGTAGTAGCTAATACCTTCAAGAATGGTGTGTCAGGCACTATTTTAATATTTTATATACATTAGCCCATTTAATCCTTACAGCAGTCCTAGGAAGGACTGTTTAGAAGAGGCAACTGAGGCATGGAGGTTAAATAACTTACTTGAGTTAATGTGCAAAGTAAATGGCACAGGCAGGCTTCAACCAGGTGGTATAGCCCCAGAGTCCACCCAATTTCAGTACTCAGCAGTTCTGCCACCCATGTAAACCAGAGCTTGCTGTTTTCTTTTAGTTCTAGGATGGACCAGGCCTTTCTGGGGTGTATGGTATAGAACACTCTAGACAGTGTCCTGCATCAGTGAGTTGTTACTATTGTTTGCCTCCAAAAGGCTGGGCTCCCTCTAACCTGTCCTTAATGTTTGGGCAACCCGCACAACTGCCGGGGATTAGGGAGCTTCTCTATTTTGCAAAACAGGAGAAGGCAAGTGTCAGCATTGGCCAGGAAATCAGGAAGTGGTTTATGATATTGGGGCAAACAGGGCAGAATGTTCCTGCTTGCTTTGAGTCATCTATGCAATCATGCATCTCTCTAAATGACAGGCTCTGTTCAACCCTCACAGGTGCACTGGAGAATGGCCTGACCAGACTGGCATAGTAGGAGGGGTATTGCGGCAGGAGTTTGAAAATAAAAGGCAGAGAGATCAGGAAATATTGTATTCATTGAGGAGAGAAATGAGGAAGGTCTGAGCCAAGGCAGGGGCTGTTAAAATAGAAAGAAAAATGGTACTAGTATATTGTAAGTGGGATTCACTGTGGTATAAATCATACATGAACATAGCATAATTTGGTAGATTTCATTCCCTAGTACTTCCCCATGCTCTCTGTTTGTCTTTCTTCTATTTTCATGAAATTTTTCTCTCTCTCTCTTTCTCTCTCTCTCTCTCTCTCTCTCTCTCTCTCTCTCTCATATGAGAGAAAACTCTGACCCTTGACTTCCTGAGTCTGGCTTATTTCACTTAGTATGATGTTCTCCAGTTCTCTGAATTTACTGACATATGACATAAACTTAATTCTTCTTTACAGCTGAATAAAAACTCCATTGTGTTATATGTCACATTTCTTTTTCCATTCATCTGTTGACAGGCACTTGGGCTGGTTCCATAACTCAGTTGTTGTGAATTGCAATGCTATAAAGCTTGATATGCATGTATCACTATAGTATGCTGATTTTAGTTCTTTGTATTATTTTTGAAACTTTTCTATGGGTCTAAAATTAGCTGAAAATAAAAAGTTTAAGTAATGGAAATATAATGTTGAAACAGGAGTGAGGGAGTATGTGTATGAGGTGGGGGATGGGGAGGTATGAGGGGGCAGTAAAGAAAAATGACTCTATCTTAGCTAACTGGCAGGATGATGATTGTAATTCCTTGAGAACAATTATAGAATAAGATTTTAGGGGTCCGAGGTGAAAAATTCCATTTGAACATGCACAATTTGAGGCACCTGGAGGATGTTGGTGGGAATGATTCTCAGAAGAAGTTTGGTTCAAAGAAAGGTTTAGATTTATTATTTTTGTGCTTCATTTCTGTGTAAGCCTCGATATGATAAATTTGAAGGCAAACCACCTTGGTATCCCCAGCGTTGGCTTGGAGCAGATAGCTCATGAGTGTTTATTGGGTTGAATTAGACTTTCACCTGGTCAGATACTTTATGAGGTCTATATCATGAGTACAAAGGCAAGTTATGAGTTCTGGGAGGTACCTAAACAAAGAGGTAGGAGGTCATGGGGGGTGATGATCATACACTGGAGCCCTTGGGCTAATTGGGAATTAGAATGACAGAATTACTTATCAATTCAATGAAATAACCACATGAGAAGCTTGTTGGGGCTGAGGCACATGGAAGGGTAAGATATGATGTGTTCCCTCGAAGAATCTATGACCTGGCAAAAAGAATTTTTCACAGAAGCCACATGGACAACGATGTGAAACAGTAGGGGATGATGTGACAAAACACATCAAAGAGTGGCTTGGTCAAGGGGTGTATTAGTGTGACTAAGGGTCCTACAGGAGACTTCTGTGGGTAAAGCCAGGTAAGTAGAGGTGGCCCAGGAGAGATAACAACCTCAACATTTCAAGTGGAAGGCTGAGGAAGGTGGAGAGATCAAGGGCAGAACAGGCAGAGTGGGGGCCAGGGAGGAGGCTAAGAGTGCATGATAAGTTCAGAGGTCAGATACAAATCTCAACCTTCTTTGGCTCACTTGTCTTACATGCTCACTTGTTTTTCTGTTTCAGGTATCATTAGACTGTTTTACTTTTATAAGGATAGCCTTTTCCTAATCAAAGCCATCAATGAAGTGGTAAGTTCCTGTTCTTTCCCTTTACTGGGGATATTTGGAAGAATAACTTCAGGAAGTGCCCCTGCAGAGTATGAGCTGGAGAGTTGATCTCATTTAAAAACTTTTTTTAGTTGTCAATGGATTTTTTTTCTTTAAATTATTATTTGCAGTGCTGAGGATCAAACCCAGAGCCTCATACTTGCCTGGCAAGAGCTCTACCATTGAGCCACAAAATGCTGAAGAAAAGGGTGCAATGGCAGGGAATGTTACAGGGCCTGGTGGTGGTCAAGCGCAACAGTAGATATTCCACAAACTGCAACTGTTATAAATGCTCTAACATTATGAATGCTGTCCTTGCCATAGGGCTAGTCTTCCATGCACTTACCAGAGAATTATCAGAAGCCTGAGAGTGGAAAGGACTGAAATTTGGACAGTGCTCCCCAAAGCCAGACTCAAGCAGTGGTTCCCAGCTTACTATAAATGGGGATCTTATGGGCACCTTGGGATGATAGTTCCTGTGCACAGGGAGAAGTGATGAGGGGGCTGACAACCAGAGTGCAAGAGAACTAGGTAGACCAGTGACAGAACATGCATCAGGGTTCTAGAACATGATTGTCATGGAGTGCTCCTTGCACGCCATGCTGCACTCCATGCTGTAGGTCAGCAGTGAAGAGAAGGGAAGTCAAGGAGATGAGACCTGAGGTCTGCAACACAACTCCAATTTATAGATGTAGATGCCCAGAAAGCCCTAAACCACAAAGTGGCAAAGAGACCAAGGTGGCAAAGAGACAGAAGCTGCCGATCCACCAGCTGAACACTGGTCCACTCCCCAGGCTGCCAGGGCACGGCTGAGTGCAGGCACGCCACCTCTCCCATCACTGGCATGATCTCTAACAAGAGATGAATTTCCAGCAGTGAAAGATGAACAAAGGATTGAAGCCCAAGAGCCTAAGTGCTTGCTTTTTGCCTGTTGACCCGATAACTAGAATTATATATCTATGTAGCATCTGTTCTGTATTTTTTCTTTGGTAATGACAAATGTGTTTTGTAAAAACGTCTGGTTTTCCTCAGTATGCCATTTACAGGTTTTAAAACAATTTTATATCTGGCCAAGTTGAAATTTTTAAAAACTTTGGTTGGGGGACATGTGTGGTAAGCCTTTGATTTGCTGAGGGATCTAGCTAAACAACATAGTGGTCTCTTCCACCAACATTTTATCATGAAAAATTTCAAAACTGCAGAAAAGTTGAAAAATTATATGGTGTTTACTTATATGCTTACTGCAAGAGACTGCAAGAACTTCATTTTTTACCTTTTTTCCCCTATATATTTTTTTCCCTTTTTGGTGCTGGGGATTGAACTAAGGGCCTCACACTAAGAACACTCTCTACCACAGAGCTACATCTCCAGCTCCCTCATTTTTAACTTGTAATCTGCCCCCCCCCTGCAAATTAGCAACTTTCAAACTTTAAAAGTCTTAGTAATAAAGATATTAATATGAAAAAACAAGACACAGACTTGGAGTACATATCTGTCTGGACATATGCAAATACACGTACATGCATCTATCTTTAAAACACATAAAAAGCTCAGAATCAATAATTAAAAAAACAAATCAACAGGGCTGGGTTGTGGCTCAGTGGTAGAGTGCTTGCCCAGTACCTGTGAGACTCTGGGTTGGATCCTCAGAACCATATAAAAGTAAATAAATAAAATAAAGGTATCATGTCCAACTATCACACACACACACACACACACACACACACACATATATAATATATATATTAGAGAGAGAGAGAGAGAGAGAAAACCAACAGATAGGCAAAAGACATGAATTGACATTTTTCAAAGAAGACATGAGTAACCAATTTTTAAAAGTACTTAATACCATTAGTTAGCAGAGAAATGAAAATTGAATTACCATGAGATAGCATTACAGTTCTGTTTTAATGCTTAAAATGAAAGGGATGGACCATACCAACTACTAGGGAGGATGTAGAACAATAGGAACTTTCATATATTGATAGTGGAAAACTGAAAACCAGGTGAGTAATTTCCAGTTAAGTAATGACCTGTCAATCCCATTCCTAGATACTTACCGAAGACAAATGAAAATACATATCCATAAAAGGATTTGTATAAGACATTCACAGAAGCTTTATTCTTAATAATAAAAAACTGAACACACAGAACAAATAAAAAGTTGTGATGCTGCATAATAATCCAATGGAATACACAGTATTTAATGACAAAACAGTGAACCACTGGTGATCATAATGCAGTAAATGACACTCAAAAACATCACATTGAGTGAAAGAAGCCAGACACAAAACAGAGCTTTCTGCATGATTCTGTTTATACAAAATTTAAGAACAGGCAAAACTAATCTATTAGTGAAGGAGATCATAACATAGTTTGCATATAAGGATGTAACTGAACAAAATAGGCAGGTGGGAATTTTCTGGGGTAATGGTAATGTTCTATGCCTTGAACAGGCTGTCAATTACATGGATGTGTGCATTTGTTAAAATTTAAAGTTATGCAAATAACACCTGTGCCTTTAACTGTCCTTAAATTTAAAAAGAGCTCTCTAAAGAAAAATATATAGTGAATACTCATTTTATGAAATCAGCATAATTATGATACCTAAACTAGACATGGACTTTACCAAAAAAAGTACTGTTGGTGGGCTTAAAAATACTAAAAATGTTAAAAACACGAATTCAGAAGATTTTTTAAACTTCATTGTCACCTTCTGAAGTTTCTAAGGTATAAACTTAGTATTCTGAAAACTAATAAAGGAGTCACTTCCCCCATATAAGCTGTATTTCAAGGTAACCAAATAGTGGGTGATAGATCTTTGTGGAAGAATTCTAACAAATGCAGAAGAAATAATAGAATCCAACTATCTTAATTTTATAAGCCATTTTGCAGAGAAATTGTCTAGGCAATGACACAAATGGCTGATGGGGAGCTTCCTGGTTGATGAGCCAGGATGACACCTGTCTGTTCTCAATTATCAACCTTACCATCACTAGAAGAGAAACAAGCAGCTATTATGAGCCTCCTGATATTCTGCAGCAGGAAGGATTCTGTTCCTGCCAAAACAATTGAACTTAAATACAATCAGCCTCTAGATCCAGTTATCAGTTTACAGGGAACACTGGTCTGCCCACTCCACTCCCACCTTATTAAACAGCACCATGGGGATGCAATTAGTCCAATTCAGAATGTGGGGGAGAAAAGGCCTGGTTTATTTAACAAGTAAATGACAAACAACAACAACAACAAAAATAAGTGGGAAGCTATTATAAATTAAAAGAGACTTAAGAGACTAAGTTAATTAAATGCAACCTGTGAACTTCATTTGGATCCTGGCTTGAGCAACTGCAAAAAATAAATTAAGTTTGTGAAACAATTGAGGAAATTGAAAAACTGATTAAGACACTAGATGGTATTTAGAAATTATTTAGATATTAGGTGATATTTAGAAATTATTTAGGCTTAAATAAAAATAGTAATTTATTGAGTTTAGGGGATGATAAAACAAGAGTTGTCATATCATGAGAAAAGGATACTGGGGGGTTCATTATGCTATTCTCTCTCTTTTTGTTATGTTTGAAAATTTTCCTAACAAATTGATATTAAACTATGTGCATCTAAAAACTTTTCCTTAATTAGTGAGCTTACCAACCAAACTAGTCTAGCCACCTTATTTTGCTAGTAGTCTTCAAGCTCCTTAAATGGATAACATAACCATACATACTAAGCATCTCAACTTTCCAAAATTTGAATAAGTCTTATACTAGGGTTATATCCAGGCTGGGCTACAGTGTAGATAGAGCCTTTCATTCAGCAGCTAGCAGAGTTTTCAGTGTCAAAAAGAACTTATTGCAATTCATTTGAATAACTGAGTGCCAGCATAGACATGAGGGTTTGCAAACCTGACTGGGAGATCTGATGTATGCCACAAATTCCTGGGAAATACGTCTAAAACCCTTTAGACAGAAAAGTTAGTTCCATTTCCTTACATTTCAATCTTACCTGATTCTTATACTAAGATGAAGTGTGTGAAGCAGTGGGAAGCATCTTTTCACGTTCTAAGCTTTCAAAGGATCTCTATTCTGGCTGTGAACCACAGAAGGTCCTGAAATATGTTCTTCTTTTTTACCAGACTGTTCTTACTCTATCAGCATCTTTTTCTTTTCAGGAGGATACCAGCAAGCATAACACCTGTGTAAAGATGGCGATCTCTCAGGGTGGGGACTTTGCAGCCTTCCTCCTACAAGGCAAGATTATCCAGAGTGTGAAGAAGACTCAGATTTGCAGCTCTTCCATATGGTTATTCCCCCCTCCTCAAGTCTTTTCTTTAGAGATAATTTAGGTTTACAGAAGAGTTGCAAACATAGTACAGAGTTGCCCTTATGCCCTTCACCCAGCTCCCCTAATACCAACATTAACATGGTGATGATATATTTGTGGATAGAAGGCAAATAATCTGTGGTTGATAGTTAATAGTATTGCATCAACATACACTATATAGTACTATTAATAACTATTAATTTTATTTCTCACAATTTCATAAGTTTTTTCATTAACATAATTTCTTTACCCCAAGGGCCAATCCAGGTTACCATATTGCATTTAGTTATATATCACCTTAGTCTTTTTTTAAAATTTTTAAATATTTTTTAGTTTTCGGTGGACACAACATCTTTATTTTATTTTTATGTTGTGCTGAGGATCGAACCCAGCGCCTCGCGCATGCCAGGTGAGCGCGCTACTGCTTGAGCCACATTCCCAGCCCTCACCTTAGTCTTCTCATATCAGTGATTGTTCCTTGATAGGTCCTTGTTTTCATGGCCTTTACACTTGGAAAAGGTAGCAGTCAGATATTTTGTGGAATGTCCCTCAATTTTAGGTTGTACACTATTTTTCTTATGATTCAACTGGGGCTAAGGATTTGGGGAAGATGTGCCGAGGCAAAGCATTGTCATTGCATCATATCTAGGGGTATGTGACAGCAGTGTGACTCATTTGGCTGATATGAACCTCAATCACTTAATTAAAGTGGTATCATAGTGTTTGCCAGGTTCTTCCATTATAGTGCTACCTGCTGTTTTTTTCCTTTTCTTTTCCTTTATTTCTTTCCTTCTTTATTTACTTCCTTCTTTCCCTCTTCCTCTTTCCTCCACCATCTTCCTTCCTTCCTTCCTTCCTTCCTTTCTTTCTTTCTCTTTCTCTCTCTCTCTCTCTTTCTTTCTTTCTCTTTCTCTCATTCATTTATTCACTCATGGGGTCTTACCGTGTTGCACAGGCTGGCCCCAAACTCCTGGGTTTAGGTGGTCCTCCTGCCTCAGCTTCTCAAGTAATGGGACTGTAGGCACGCGCCTGCACAGCTTTGTTTCTCCCTGTCTTTACTGTGTAAGGAGGAAGTCACAAAGTCAAGATCACACTCAGGAGAAGATGATTTAGGCACCTTTTGGAGAAAGGAGAATTGAAGAATTTTGGGACATACATTAAATCCATTATAATAATTAACATTTTGGGAGAGATACTTTGACGTGATGTGAATATCCTATTTCTCCTTTCACTCATCAATCTTCGCACTCATCATCTAATCTTGCCTGCTGCAATTAGCACTGTGTTAATGGACATATTTTATGTAAATGTTTGTCATCTTGATTTTCAAATTTCAATTATTTTTACATATAGTATATGGAACTCTATTTATACTGTTTCCCAAGGGCCCTCAAATGTTGGATGCTTGGGGAAGATACATTTTATAATGCTTTTGTATCAAAAGAAATTTTTGTTTTATCTATATTCATTTCCTTTAGCTGTCATAACAAATTCCATTGGTGACTTAAAACAAAAGACATTTTCTGAGTTCTGGGGTCCGAAATTAAGGTTTCCAGATAATTAAAAAAAAAAAATTTAACCCAGGAGTGCTCTGTCACAGAGCTATATCCAGAACCCTTTTATTTATCTATTTATTTATTTATTTTTATTTTGAGACAGGGTTTCACTAAATTGCCCAGGCTAGCTAACCTTGTCATCTTCCTGCCTCAGCCTCCTGAGTAGCTAGGATTACAGTCATGCACCACTGTGCCCACTACTAATTACTTTTTAAAGGAAACATTTAGGCAGGATCCTATATTCTGGGAGAGCAACCTTTCCCAACTTGGTTGGTATTCTGTACAGAAACTGAACCTGTTTCTAGAACATGATAGTAGTCCCACAACCACCCCATAGGTTGTCATCTCCTCAACTATTAGAAGAACTCTTTGGGGGCATCTTTCCCAATTCTAACCCTTTGTTTGCCCAGGGCCTCTCCAGTGCTTCCAGATACACCACTTTTTCCCCAGATGGCTTTAACTATAGGGCAAAATGTCAGTAGAATTTTCTGTGGTGAAATATAAAGCATGTGAACTGGAGCACACAATTTGGTAAAAAAACTGTCTTGCATCAGTGCTGTGTGAGAAGCCTGTTTCCCTTCGATGGCAGTAGCTTGACCGTTCAACTCTCTATGGGAAAGTTACTTGGCTAGCGAGGACTTGCAATAATCATTGCAAAACTATATTGCCTTCAATCTATCAAAGTTGCTGTTTCATGGGTACCTATTGCAGAAGTGCCAGCAATTCTGAGAAGACAGGCCATTCCTCAGACAAAACTCTTGGCCTGCTTGCAGTTGCTCAATGGCTGTTTGGTTTCCCAAGCAGGAGTTGGAGATGTTTGGCTGGATGTGTATAAGTTGCCCAAGGAGTCTTGGCTCAAGGAAGTGGAGCATCCCCAAGTCACTTCAAATGCAAAGAAAAAAGCCAGACAGACACAACTGGTAGGGAACATCTTTGTTTTCAACTAATATGTCTCTTCCCAGCCTGGGCTCACATCTTGCCTTAGAATTTCAAGATGAACAAGGCCTCTGACGGCTATAAAATACAACAGGAAGAATGTCTATGTCTCCCCAACGTATTTGCTTTGGATGAAATAAAATATTAAAAGGTAGAGATGGATTTAGTAGTGGGAGCTCAGTATTTCACTTGTCTGGGACTTGCTCTGCACTAAGACTCCACACAGATATTTCTCTGGAAGGAGGATCTTTTGTTCTGATTTCTGCCCCCACTGGTAATCTTTTTCCTTCCTGGGCTGAAATAATCCTTTCATGCCTTGAAATTCCACTACATTTCTCAGACTACGTATAATTGGGGCGTGTCCTTAATAAATAGAAATATGTATATTCTCTTCCAAATTAGGAACACTACCATTTCAGTTTAATTATATGATGCCTGAGACTTGTCTTGCATCTTTTTATAACATTTATTTATTTTTTTAGTTTTAGGTGGACATAATATCCTTATTTTGTTTTTATGTGGTGTTGAGAATCGAACCCAGTGCCTCACTCATTCTAAGCGAGCGCACTACCACTTGAGCCACATCCCAAGCACCTGTCCTGCATCTTTTTTTTTTTTTTTTTTTTTGGTACCAGGGATTGAACTCAGGGGGCATTTGACCCCTGAGCCACATCCCCAGCCTTATTTTGTATTTTTTTTAGAGACAGGATCTCACTGACTTGCTTAGTACCTGAGGCTGGCTTTGAACTAGGCATGCTAGGCAAGCACTCCACACTAAGTTTTTTAAACTTTTTAAAATTTTATTTTGAGTCTCACTAAGTTCCTAAGACTGACCTCCAACTTGCAATCCTCCTGCCTTGGCTGTCAAGTCTCTGGGATTCCAAGCACATGCCACCATGCCTGTTCCCAATTACATTCTGAGATCCTACAGAAGAGGGATCATGTATTAAAATCCTGCAGGTCAGAGGATCACCCATACATTGGTCCTCCATGTCTATAGCATGAATTCAGTTCTCACGAAAGGAAATGGTGTAGGGGGAGCGGGCATCTCAGGAGATTACAGGGTAAGGGGAAAATATATCAAATGCATTGTGAATTAATTTTTCATTTTCTCCTCAGAACTCTGTCGATCCCACTCCTGTAGATAACTTAGAAATGGTAAGAAACTTTAAAGAAAATCTCCAGAGAGATTTAAATTATATTTTAAAGATTCTTATTTTTACTTGAAACATACTTTAAATATCAAATTACTGGTAAATGTCCCACCAGGACACTGTTTACAGATTCTCTGTGACTTTGTCTTGTGTCTCATATCCATTGAAGATGACCTCCTGTCCTTGAGTAAAGGGAGTTTAAATTTCAGGGCCCCTCACATTGGCTTCTTCCAAGAGCCTGGAAGGGGCCCTAGCAATGTATTCACATGGTCTTGTATTTTTGTAAAATTGGCAAAAATAACATATTTTAACTACAATCACTTAAGATCATTGTTAGCTTTTCACTCTAACTTCCCTCTGCTACAGTCCCCCATCTTGGGTGCTATGAGTGTCGCCATGGGCATTTTGTATTCATAATTTTGAATTCTTCTTCTTAAAGAGGGCCCATAAAACCTGGATTTGCCCCCTACAAAAACAACAGCCTAATCCACCAAGACAAATAACTCAGGGGTTTCACCTTTGTTTTAGAATACCCTGGAGGATGGTGCAGCTTCCCTGAAGCACCCCACTCTCCATCTGATGGACCACACCATCTTCTTAGCCCTTGACAACTTGGGATCTCAGTAGAGTAGTGGCGACTCCTGAAGTGAAAGCCTTCAGTCAGCGCCCTTGTTTTGTTTCCTTTTTAAGTTACATTATATTTCAAACTATACAACTAATATATGACTCCGTCACTCTTGGAAAAGTCAAGTCATTCAAGTAAATGAACCTCTCCAGAGGTAATTGCCATATTAGATCTTACTGAAAACTCGGTCCTTGTCCCCACTGCCAATCCCAAAATGACAAAGTTTTGAGAAAAAAGAAAAAGAAGTTTACTGCTTTACTACCAAAGGAGAAACACAGGGGACTCCTGTCCCAGAAGCTGTGATTCTAACTCCTAGGGGGTGGACTTTTAAGGATTCCAAGACCACGCTCCAGCTGCGCCCTGTCGTCATTCACAGGTAGCTTTTCTTAGGTCCACGGGTGCCAGCTTTTAAGTCTGGGCTCTTCATTCCTGTGGCCTGTGAATGGAAGGACAGGTAACAGCCTGGAATGGGAAGAAGTTAATCTTGCTTCCCCTAAGGATAGGAAGGGGGTGAGGAGAAGAGAAAGGGGAAAAATGTCCATTTTAAAATAATCCAGAGTGGCAGAGCATCAAGGGTTATGTTCAAAGTGTGAAGCGGACCTCTGTTACAGCTTGGTGTGTGTTTTCTAGATCTTTAGTGTGTATTTATATTTTTATACTTGTTTGCTTCAAAAAAGTGTAGTTATGTCTTATGCGAATTTTTTCTAAATAAGGGCCATTGAATTACATAAATTTTTTCTTACAAACTTATATTTTTTGTCATTGATTTATTAGTATAGTTTTGCATGTCAAATAAACTTTATTACAGATGTACTGTAGCTTATATGGCTACTAGTCTATTGATGATATTGAGGTTGTCCCCAATTTAAGGCTCTTAAACAAAGCCATGCAAATCTTCATATATTCTTCTTTATATACCTGAGTGAGGGCCTCTCAAAGGTATGTGTATTTTTAGTTTTTATATAGATATTAAGAAATACTCATACAAAAATGGCCTGACAATTTACTTTTAATCAATATTTTCCCACAGCTTCAGTGAACTTGATATTATCAATGAATTTGTTTTACTGTAAACTAATGGGATGAAATGGCCTCTCATTTTAATTTTCATTAATTCCTTCATATTTTTATCGGACAATGAGGTTTTCTCTTTTGTGAATTGCTTGTATGTGACCTTTGCTCAATTACATTTTTTCTAATCTGTAACTTCCCTTTTTACTTTATTTGTATGCTCTTTGTTATAAAGAAGTTTTAAATTTGACATAGTTGAAACATTAAATTTATTCTTCATGGCTTTTGCACTTAAGAAAGCTTTTCCTGTTAGAAATAAGTTCTCTTGGGTTTTCTTCTAATACTTTCAGAGTTTTGCTTTTGACATTTTATGCTTCATATGAGAAGTTGTTTTGGTGGTTGTTTGTTTGTTTGTTTTGGTATCAGGGATTGAACCCAGAGTGCTTAACCACTGGGCCACAGCCCCAGCCCTTTTTAAAAATATTTTATTTTGAGACAGGTTCTCGCTAAGTTGCTTAGTCCTTGCTAAATTGCTAAATCTTGTTTTGAATTTGTGATCCTCCTGCCTCAGCCTCCCGAGTCACTGGGATTACATATGTGCACCTCTATGCCCAGCAGCTTCCAGAGATAATTGAGGTTGCTATTTTCTTGCTTCTTAGGAATTTTTCAGAATAAATCAGGTGATTAGTAGACTGAATGAGGCTCTTTGTTTTTTTGAGATGGGGTCTCGTTTTGTTACCCAGGGTGGTCTTGAACTCACGGGCTCAAGTGTTCCACCTGCCTCAGCCTCCCAAGTAGCCTCACTGCACTAGCCTAGTGTTTTTGGGTCTGCTAAATCATTTCGCCACCTCCTTTCCAATTTTTTACATTTTGTTGCTTTTGTGACTGCCCCAGAAGCACCCACACTAACCTTAGGCCCAGCGCGGCAGGTCTCTTTACTGAACTTTGTTGTAAGTTCTAATGGTTTGCTGATTTCAGTTTGCTAAAATTTGATAAATTTTGCACCTGTCTTCATGAGAGACAATCCGTAGTTTTGTTTTCCTGTAACATCTTTGGCTGTGGTCATCAGGGCTATGCTCTGCCTCTTTTATTTCCTGAAGAATTGATGTAGAATTGACATTATTTCCTCCTAAAATTTTTTAAAATATTTTTTAGCTGTAAATGTATCTTTTATTTTATTTATTTATTTATATGCAGTACTGAGGATCGAACCCAGTGTCTCACATATGCTAGGCAAGTGCTCTACCACTGAACCACAATTCCAGCCCCCCTAAAATGTTTGATAGAATTTACTAAAGAAGCCCTCTGGCCCTGGGTTGTTGTTTGTGGAACTACACATTTAATTTATTTAATAGATAAAGGCTCTTCAGGTTACCTACTTCTTTTTTTTCCCCTGTAATAGGAAAAAGAACACAGGAAATTTATTACATGTCTAAGCCATGAGAAGCTTTTTAATAATTTCTATTGAGATAATTAAAGCTTTTTGAAGCTCTTATATTTTGTGTATATCAAGGAATTTGTTCACTTTTAATTTAAGTTGTCAAATTTATTGGCATAACATGGTTCATTACTCTTTCACTGTTTCTAAAACCTGTTGTGGTATCAGTTCACTCATTCCAGATACTGGGAATTGGTGTCTTATCTTTCTTTCTTAGTCAGCTTGGCAAGAAGTTTGCCAATTCTATTAATCTTTTCAAAGAGCAAACTTTTGGTTTCATAAACTTTTCTCTATTGTTTTTCTGTGTTCTATCTCACTGATTTCCAATTTGATTTTTATTATTTTCTTCATTCTGTTTAGGTTTTTTTTTTTTTTTATCTTGTCTTCTAGCTTCTTAAGAAAGAAACCTAGATCATCAATTTGAGATGTTTCTTCTTTTCTTGCATTTGCTGCTATAAACCTATATATGTACAGCCAGCTTTCACATCTGCAGATTCAACCAATGTCAGATCAAACATGTTTTAAAAATATTGAGTCTGTACTGGATTTTTTTCTTGTCATATTCCCTGAACAGTACAGTATAACAGCTACTTATATAGTATTTATATTATATTAGGTATGTAAATATAATAGTATTTATTATTAGGTATTATGTAAAGACAATTTAAAGTACATGGAGGGATATACACAGATTATATGCAAATTCAATGCCATTTTACATTTAGGACTTAAGCTAATCCACAGATTTTGGTATCCAAGGGTTCTGGAGCCAATCCTTCATGGATACCATGGGATGACTAGGGGCTGGGGTTGTGGCTCAGCAGTAGAGTGCTCACCTAGCACATGCGAGGCCCTGGGTTCAATCTTCAGTACCATGTACAAATAAATGAAATAAAGGTATTGTGTCCAACTACAACTTAAAAATAAATATTTTTAGAAAATTGATGACTGAACTGCTTTAGCTGCATTCTTTAAATATTGATATGTTTTAATTTTCATTCAATTCAAAATACTTTCTAATTTGCTTTTTTTCACCTTTAACCAATGCATTACTTAGTGTATATTTATTAGCTATATTATAGATATCTTTCTTTTATTGGTTTCTAATTTATTCCATTGTGATCAGAGAACATATTTTGTGTAATTTAAATTATATATATATAGCATTTGGACACAATACCTTTATTTATAAAATATTTTTTAGTTGTTGATGAACCTTTATTTTATTTATTTGTATGTGGTGCTGAGAATTGAACCCAGTGTGTCACACATGCTAGGCAAGTGCACTACCACTGAGCCACATCCCAAGCCCCTATACCTTTATTTTTATTTATTTATTTTTATGTGGTGCTGAGGATCAAACCCAGCACCTCACAGATGCTAGGTGAGTGCTCTATTGCTGAGCCACAACCCCAACCCCAAGTTTAATGAGACTTGTTTTATGTCTAGTATATGGTTTATCTTGGTAAGTGTACTTGAAAAGAATGTGTTTTCTGCTGTTATTGGTCAAGTTATTCGAGTCTTCTATGTCTTTTTTATATTCTTACTGACTTTCTACTTATTCTATCAGTTATTAAAAGGGGAATCTCTAAGATTGTAGTTTCATTTCTTCTTTCACTCTTTTTTTAAAAAAAATATTATTTTTTAGTTGTAGGTGGACACAATTCCTTTATTTTTATTTATTTATTTTTATGTGGTGCTGAGGATTGAACCCAGTGCCTCACCTGCTCTAGGAAAGTGCTCTGCCACTGAGCCACAACCCCAGCCCTTATTCTTTCACTCTTATGAGTTTTATTTCATGTATTTGAAGCTATTGTTAGATGTATAATCTTATGGAATGTTATATTTTCCAATGAATGGACCATTTTATCATTACTCACTGACCCTTTGATTCCTGGTAATATTCTTTGTTCTGAATGAAATCTTCTAAGTCAGATACTAATATAGCCTCCAGCCTTCCTTTGATTAGTTTTAGTAAGATATACCTTTTGAAAATACTTTTGGGGCTAAGGTTGTACCTCAGTGGTAGAGTACTTGCCTCACATGTATAAGGCACTGGGTTCCATCCTCAGCACCACATAAAAATAAACAAACAAAATAAAGGTATTGTGTCTATCTACAACTAAAAAAAAATTTTTTTAAATACTTGTAACACATTTACTACTTCCTTTATTTCGGTGGTGGGTACCAGGGATTGAACTCAGGGGTGTTGCAGTAATTCACTTGCAGGTCAGCATGGGAAAAGAAAGAAGAAGCAGAGCAAGCGAAGCAGCAGCAGAAAAAAAGTCCTTTATTGTGTACAAGCAATCTTTTTATAGTATTGTGAACAAAGAAGGCAGCCTTCCAACATCAATAAATCAGGTCTTTCAGCTAATTAAACATAGCATACAGAAGTTTTACTTTCTAATCAGAAGTGACCCACTTCTCATGGCTAATCTATTTTCGGCCCGGAGTATGTTGAGCTCTGCTCTTTGTTAAGAACAGATAATAAAATTTTTCTCAGCGCCCTCCTAGCCCACTTGGCAGAACATCCCGTTTGCAGGCGAGTCCTCCCAAGGACAGCAGACACCTCGTTTTCAAGCATGTCCGCTGTTACCTTATCTAAACCTTGAAGGAGCCTCTTGTTTGCGAGCAGGCCCTCCCAAGGACAGCAGACACCTTGTTTTCAAGCATGTCCGCTGTTACCTATCTATACCTTGACAGAATATCCCATTTGCAGGCAGACTCCATCAAGGACAGTAATAGTAACGCAGTTACATCTGATTCTCTACACAGGGGCATTCAACCACTGAGCACATCCTCATCCCTATTTTGTATTTTATTTAAAGACAGGATCTCACTGAATTGCCTAGCACCTCACTTTTGGTGAGGTTGGCTTTGAACTTGAGATCCTCCTAATTCAGCCTCCAGAGCCACTAGGATTATGGTTGTGTGCCACTGTGCCTGCCTACTTACTTGCTCTTTTTTTTTTTTTTTTTTTTTGGTACTGGGGATTGAACCCAGAGGTGCTTAACCAGTGAGCCACATCCCCAGTCTTTTAATTTTTTTAATTTGTTCTTATGGTTGTTGTGCATTCATCTATAAACACAGGAAAATTGCATCTGATTCATTCTACTGTCTTTCCTATTTTTATCCCCGTCTCCCTTCCCTTCATTCCCCTTTGTCTAATCCAATGAACTTCTATTCTCCCTGCCCTCCTTATCATGTTAGCATCCTCTTATCAGAGAGAACATTTGGCCTTTAGTTTGGGGGTTGGTGTATTTCACTTAGCATAATAGACGTCAGTTCCATCCATTTACCAGCAAATGCCATAATTTCATTCTTCTTTATGGCTGAGTAATATTCCATTGTGTTTATATACCATATTTTCTTTATCCATTCATCTGTTTAAAGGCACCTAGGTTGGTTCCATAGTTTAGTTATTGTGAACTGAGCTGCTATAAACATTGATGAGGTCGCATCATTATAGTATGCTGATTTTAAATTTTTGGGGTATATGCCCAGGAGTGGGATAACTGGGTGAAATGGTAGTTCCATTCCAAGGTTTCTGAGAAATCTCCATACTGCTTTCCAGAGGAGATGTACCAATTCGCAGTCCCACCAGCAACGTATGAATGTGCCTTTTCCCCCATATCCTTGCCAACATTTATTGTTATTTATATTCTTGATAATTGCCTCCAGTCCTTTTTATATTCATTTTGAGACAGGGTCTTGCTAAGTTGCTTAGGGCCTCACTAAGCTGCTGAGACTGTCTTTGAACTTGCAATTCTGCTGCCTCAGCTTCCCTAGCTGCTGGGATTATAGGCATGTGCTACAGTACCCGGCCACATTTACTTCTTTACATTTTAACTGAATTTCTTTTTGATTGTATAAAAAAATTCAAAGCGACTCTTTTATACAATCTGGTAATCTCTGCCTTTTCATTGGGGGTGTTTAGACCATGTGCATTGAATATAATTATTGATATGTTGTAGTTTAAATCTACTACTTTGCTATTTACTTTCTATTTGTTCCATCTGTTCTTTCTTTTCAGTTTATTTCTGCCTTCTTAAGAATGAGAGTCTTTAATGATTTCATATTGTCTCCTTTGTTGGCTTACTGACGGATCCTTTTCCTTGTTTTAGGATATGAACATTTATTTTAGAGGTGATATTAAGTTGAGTTTTCCAGTTCCCATAATGAAGATCAAACCACCTAAACCTATAACAGGTAATTACAGTTCAGTTAATACTTTCTTTCCTTTTGCTATTGATTTCTCCATTTTCCCACTCCTTGGTCTGTCTCCATATTTCCTATTTTTTTTCTATTTATTAGCAGCAATGTCTAATGAAATGCATAGTTCTAAAGAGGACATTTAAAAACACTTATGAACTTATGCTCTGGGGCCTAAAAACAAACAAACTCTATTAATCCATCTATATATGTTACAAAGATACAGTAACAGAAATGGAATGTGAGGTGAGACATTGTTTCTAGTTGCTAGGTGGAATTTGTTAGTTCCTACATGCCTGTATTAATTCGTTTAGTTGATTTAATTGTGGGTTGGAGTTCGTTATTCCTGCATCCCTGTATTAATGCATTGATCAGTATTTACTGAGTGCCTATAGTGCATCAGGCATGAACATGAGAAGGTCACATCTCCTGCAACTTTAGAGGCTGATTGTCCACCAAGGGAGAAGTACAGCAATTAGGAACATGTAGGCCCATGAAAACACAGAGGAAGGAGAGGCTATCTCTGCCTAGAGAGTAAACAAAGGGGCATTTGAGCAAGGTTTTGAGGATTAAGTGGGCATTGGTCAAGAGGAGCAGAGGGGATAAGCATCTTAGGCAGAGAATACAGAGTGTATCTTCTCAGGATCTCACAAGCATGATCACTGGAGGTGTGTGGGGGGGTGTAGCTCAGTGATAGAGCACTTGCCTAGCATGCATGAAATCCTGGATCCCATCCCTAGCACCTCCCCACACCCAAATTTACTACAGCATTATTTGGAGAGCAGCAGATTGGTTAGATAAAATCTGGCACATTCATAAAAAGGAACATTTTACAAGGAATAAGAAACAAAGACAGAAGTGCAAAGGGCCAAGAATAGCCAATTCACTTTTATTAAGAAAATGTAAGTTGGGGCTGGGGATGTGGCTCAAGCGGTAACGCGCTCACCTGGTATGCACAAGGCACTGGGTTTGATCCTCAGCACCACATAAAAAAAAATAAATAAAGATATTGTGTTCACCTAAAACAAAAAAATAAATATAAAAAAAGAAAAGGTAAGTGAATAATAAAAATATAAATGAAATATAAAACTAGTGATAGGTAAAGATGATAGACATAGAGGCTGGGGTGTAGCTCAGTGGTAGAGCACTTGCCTAGCAAGTGGGAAGCCCTGGGTTCAATCCCTGACACTGGCAAAAAGTGAAAAAGAAAAAAAAGAAATAGTAAACATAAAAATGGATGAACAAAACAAGGACGATAAACAAAAACATAAGAGTAATTTAGGGATTCAGAGTGAAGACTGGATCTCAAAAGAGAAATGCCCATGAACCATTGGTATGCACAGCAAACAACCCAGCCTGTGTTCCTGTGCTCACTGCCTTGCCTGAAAGGCATCTTGATGAAATGCAACAAATTGCATTTTGTCAGGCCAGAACATAAATGAATGGAGCCATGCATAAATGAACACTTGAGGCTTGGTGGACACACTACTGAGATGTAGACAAAAAGTGGTCATTTCAATAAACAATGTCACCGCCCCCTGTTCCAGTTGTCCATATGGAGATAAAAACTTGTCTCTCCAGAGGCAGAAGAAATCTTCCAAGTCCTTGACTCCATCACAGAAAAGAATGTAAGGGTGAGTCAGATTGTAGAGAAAGAAAGGAAGAGCTTTATTGGAAAGCAGAAAGTATACACTCGAGAAAGAGGGAGTTGGACAGATCTCAGAATGAGTCACCTTGTCTTACTCTGGCAAAAGACAGTATCTAGGAAGAGTAGTGGACTGGAGGTAGAGTGGGGACAGGGTCTTAAAACTTCTCGCCAGCTTTCCTTACACTTGTACATTGCCTATGCATGTTCTGATCATGCTTCTTCATATATTGCGTGTCTCATTATTATCTTAAATCTCCACCCAGAGTTGTGTTTTTACTATTATAATGAGGCTAGGGTCATTTCTCAGTCACCAGAGTCTCAAATGCACATTCTCCCTAAAGGAGCGGCCCCTCCAGATGCCTGTGTTACCTTGTAATTTAGTTGCATTTCATCAAGGTGAGTCTCAGGCAAGATGGTAGCACAAGGTCATGGGCTAAGTGGTTTGTTGTGCATACCAATGGTTTATGGACATTTCTCTTTTAAGAGTCAGTCTTCTCTCTGTATCCCTAAATTCCTTTCTCAGTGCCAAATAAGAAATGACCAACTGTCTATCAGAAAAACTGTACCATGTTCATTCAACATATTACAATACAGCAATGCAAATGCAGTTACACAAACGTGAATACATTTCACAAACGATAGAGAGCAAAAGAGGGCAGATAGTGTTAATACAATATGGCTCTCCTTATGTACAGTTCAAAATCAGGCAAAACAAAGATATAGCATTTAGGATGTGTGTTTAGATAGGTAAAGTATAAATAAGTGCAATGAAGTGGCTACTTAAAAGTCAGGAGAGCGCTTGCCACTCTTCCTGGGGATTGTGATTGGAAAAGGGCCCTGTGAAGCTTCTAGGCAGCTGGTGATATTCTTTATCTTAACCTGAGTAGGCAGTACCAGGTGTTTGCTTTAGAATAATTTACTACATGCTCTTTGTGTGTTACATTTCACAATAAGAAAAAGGCTTAATGAATAAAAATAAGCAACAGTGAGAAGAATCTATACTACTAATGTGAACTGGTCTCCAAGATTCTGTGTTAAGTGAAAATACAGAAGGTTTGGGCATAACAACAATTTCCAAATTTTGGCTCTATTAGACTCAATTGGAAGACCCAGTAAACCCAGACTGCGGGGTCTTGTCAGAGTTTCTGTTCCAATAGTATCAGCATTTCTATTCCTGTCCCAGGTGACTCTGACCCTGGGGGGTCTGATATCACCCTTTGAGAACTACTCCAGTATAATATGATACTGTGTGTTTATAAAAACCTCAGAAAGTTATTGAAGAAACTGAAGATAATTGTCTCTGGGGAAGCAGCCTGGGGCACTGTGAAACTTCTGGGGCAACTCAAGGGACCCAGGCACTTTCCAAAGAGAACTGAATGCTGAAACTCAAGGTTTAGACCCACAGAATAAATCACCCAGTGTTACTGTGAAATAGGAACCATTGAAAAAGAAAGAAATGAAAGGTTATTGGGAAATGAAATGGTGGAAAAAAAATGATTGACAGAGAAAGGAGACTTTTTCAAGGAAGGTAATTGGATAAACATCAGCATAGGAAGAAGCCGAGTCAAATGAATGATGTGGGTCTTCAGCATCGACTGGAAAGCCATGGTCACTGGCAGGTTTGGGCCCCGCTTAGCTGGGGAGATGGCGACAGTGATCTAAAGTGATCTAGCAGCACTGTGAATATTTCCCTGGCTTCTCGGGAGACATTCTATAATCCAGAAGTGGTGAGAAAGATGGTCATAGGAGACATAGGAGGGAGAGCACTGCTTTCTGCCTGGGCTCTGTGACAGGTGGAGCAGGGGCAAGGCTCACAGAGACTGAATTCCTGGGCTCACAGACCTGATGCAGAGCAAGATTTCCAAGGATGGGGCTTCTTCAGGAAAGTGGGAAGCATAGAAAAAGTTGGGGGAGATTAGGAAGAGGAAGTCAGGTGATTTGACTAATCCTGGAATTTTTTCAACCCAAGGCACGACATTTAAAAGTCCTCTAGAAGTCTTTGCAAAGATAGAAGACTGCTATGGGCTGGGCTCTGGGCAGAATCACTTCATCAAGGAGAGTCAGTGGGAACACCAAGCAGAGATCTTCTACACCTCCTACAGGAAGTTCCTGGATGGGGAATGGGAGGAGGAGCCACTCAGGTAAGCCCGGAGGAGCTGTCTGCTCCCCAATTAGCCCCTGGAGCTTCAGCTGTCTCGGTACACACAGGGACCAATCCAAGGACCCAACTAATCCCAAATAAGCTCATTTTGGTTTGGAGAAATGTAGGGAACTTCAGCAGATTTTTTTTGAAATGTTGAATGGAGATTGCTTTAACTTAATGAGAACAAAGGCAGACAGCATGGATTTAAAAGGAGCAATAGCAAGGAGCATAGCTCAGTGGTAGAGCCCTTTCCTACTAGAATGTGCGAGAGGCCCTGGGTTCCATCCCCAGCACTACCATTGGAGGAGGCAGGGGAAGGAAATAAAAAAGAATATATACCTACAGAGATGAGAAATAAGTTTTAAGTTCTTTGTATGACTCCTCTTTTTTTTCCTGATTTTCTAAAGAAAAACACTGAAATTCTAAAGATGGAAATAAAAGTCACCACTGTTAACATTTTTTCTTCATATCCTTCCTGCCTTTCTAAATGTAATGTAGTTTAGGTATATAGTTGTTTAATTATCACAATACATTTAATGGGTTCACCTGTCAGCAGTTAGGCCTCATTAACTCCATGTTGTATGGGTAAAAACTGAGCCAAGGTATCTGAAGTAGCTATAGTGGGGCTGGTTTTAGGGATAAGCCCTCTTCACAGCTGCTGTGGGCCTCATCTTGCTGCCAAGTAGACCTCAGATTTCCTCACTTCAGGACATAAAGTCTGAGGGACCACACCCTAATGGCAGCTACCTGGCTGCTCTCTGTGACAGACCCAGAACCCTGGCCAGGCTCATTGGTGCGCTGCAGCCACTCCTACTGCCTAGGGAGACATTTAGGGGTTTTGCAGACAGCTGTTAAAATGCTGTAACTTGATGGGAATGTCTATACCATGAAAATCTACAAACCTTATAAATCAGGGCCTTTTTAAAAAAGACTCAGTTTATCAGAACACCTGTGGCTGTTTTGCACCCAGGATAAGAGAGCATTTGTGCAGATCACCCAAGACTGCTCTTTAAAGGATCTTTCTGGACAACAGAGGGCTCACCAAAGGAGAGCCTGCTCTAGTGGGAGCTGCCCAACACCATACTGGTCTGGGGGTGATCCACAGTTCTACCTGTTCTCACCCTCCTCCAAGGTCTACACATCCTCCCAGTACCAGCATCTAGACCATGATTGGCTTGTGCCCTTGGGAAGGTTCATGTGTGCATGTCTGGTCATGTCAGGACTCTGCCATCCTCCTTGCCGAGGAGCCTGAGTGTCTCTGACTCTGTCTCTTTTTCCCAGTTCGGCCACATTCCACTTCCTCCTTCCCAGCTGCCTCACTGCAATGCCAGCAGAAGTCAGGAGCCCCTCAGGTAGGTGAGCAGGTGGTTGCCCTGGCAAGGAGTCACTGCAGGGAAATCCCTCAATAAGCTCTAGGGGGTGTTCCACATGCCGACCTTTTATGGTAAGAGGGAATGAAGGTGGAAATTAGCTTGACAACTGGAGCCTAACAGTTCCTGTTTGAATCTGTAGCTCCTCAGCCCAGATTCTCTGATCAGGAGGCCAGTACGGCCTTCAGGGAATGACTGCCAGAGCTGAGGATGTGGGCACATGTTTGAGGACTGTTTCAGTTGTGAATTCACCTAGAAGCAAGTGGACATCAGTTTTAAGATGTGCAAACAGCTCAGGGGCACTTAAAATATCCTTCTTGCCCAGGAAGGCGAGTGGCCCTAGAAACAGCCCCCATGGTGCTCAGTCCTTCTGACTCAGGAAACTCACCCCTCTGTCATTTGCTGCCCAATAGAAAAAAAAACACTTCAGACTTCCAACCAGCTTCCTCTTGAGCAGAAGACACCTTTCATATGAGCAGAAGGCCACCAGGCTTCTTATGTAATACCTCTTTCTTCTCTTCATTCCCAGGAGTAGCCTGCATCCTTGGCATACACTGGACCAGAAGTCACAACTTCTTCCTCTATTCACTCAACCGAACTCTGAAGGATAAAGCTGGTACTTTACCGTGTGATAGGAGTGGCCTAAGCTCAGGGCCTGAGGACACCTCCTTCTCCAGCTTAGCTGGGTGTGAGGTCCATACATCATTGTTGCTTTAGGGAGCCAGAGCTATGGTGTGGCCTCAGGAATCTGTCCCTAAACTGTCATGTTTCTTCAAGATGACAGGACAACAGGGACAAAGCCCAGAGGCAGGTCCATAGGGAAAATGATACTGAAATCTAAGTCCTTTCCCTGATTCCAATCCAATAATGAGGACAGGGTTTTGAGAAAAAGGAAAAAGAGGTTTTACTGATTTGCTAGCAATTGAGAAACATAGTAGACTCAGGTCTCAGGCTTTGATTCTAAATGTCACAGGGAACAGAGGGCTTTAAAAGGGGGAACGACAACTGGGCACAGAGGTACATACCTGTAATCCCAGCAACTCAAGAGATTGAGGCAGGAGGATGACCAAGTTCAAGGCCAGCCCTGGCAACTTAGAAAGACCCTGTCTTAAAATGAAAATAAAAAGGACTGGGGATGTAAATCAGTGGTAGAGCACCCCCTGGGTTCAATCCTCACCACCATAGGAAAAAAGGTGGGGTATATACCACGTAGCATTGTTGGAAGATGCATCCTTGAGAGAGCTGTTGTTTCTGTTTACAGATCCAGAGTTTCTTTATTCTTATGGTCAGGGGTGGAAGGACAGATAACTTGACTTAGGATAGGAAGAATGTTAATTTTACTTCCCCCACTGTTAGGGAGGGGACAGGGGAGAAAAGGAAAGGGAAAAAAAGTCAATTTAGAAATAAGCAACTAGGAGTCAAGCAGCAGCAAGGCTTGTATTTAAAGCATGAAATGGACCCTTGTTACATGAAAGGGACCCCTGTTACAGAAGGAGGGTGGTCTCGGCTCATCCCTGCCCAGCTATCTGAAAACTGTATAGTCCTGGGCCAGTCACTTCATACCCCAATCAGTTTTCTCACCTGAAATACAGAGCTAATTCATTACACCATCACGATCTACTACATGTGTGTGTTGTGTAGAACAAATTCCAGAATCTCTGTATGTGAAAGTCTTTGAAATTGAAAAGCACTAAGGAAATATGGGTGACGATTGCTGTTAGGCAAATCCATGAGGACAGTTATGTGAGCAAGTTTGCTTCAGTAAGTGCTTGAGCTGTACACTTATGTTATATTTTCACATTGTCAAAACAAAAACAAAAACAAAAAAATCCACACACATTAAAAACCCTCAAAGAAGGAGTTTCTTTCCTTCTATCACTCTCCCAAGAAGCCTGGCTTCTAATCTGTGCTTCTCTCCTGACTGGCTGTGTGACCTTGGGCAGTTGACTTACTCCTCTGCCTCAGTCTTCTCATCTGTAAACTGGGGATACTAATAGGACCTACTTCATAGAACCCTCTTTGAAATTAAATGAAACAATTCCTGTGGGGTGCCTTATACAAATTTTAGCACCTAGGAAGCCTTCATTAAACTTTAGCTGTGACTCAGTATCTTGTTCCTAGGGAAGAGTGGTACTATCTAGAGAGGAGTGAGGTGGAGTCCAAGCAGGTGCTCCTGGGGCACAGGCATCAGTCTGGGTCTCAGGTTGTCAAGGAGGGGAGATAGGCAGGGCCGGGTCTGGGGGTAGCCTGATGAATGGTGTCCTCCCTCTAGACCCTGAGGGTGTGTGGCCCTGTGCTGCGCCCATTGTTGTCTCTCAGCTCAGCTGCTGCTCCTCCTACCTGGTGCTGGCCTGTGAGGATGGTGTGCTCACCCTGTGGGACCTGGCTGAAGGTGAGCCCCTACCATCCCCCACCTCTCTACAGACCACCTGGTGGATCTCTAGGCAGTGAGACTCAGCAGCTTTGGACTGTATGTCTGTATGTCTAAACATGTGGAGTGTTTAGCTATGAATATTTAGAAAACTTTAGATGGAACCACATTCTGTATATTCTCCAACTTGTTTGCCTCTGGACCTTCTGTTATCTGTAAGTTCATAGTTTCCTTGGGCAGCTGGTCCTGCTTTCTCCTCATTCATTCCGCAAACACTTACTGAACATTATATGTGCCAACACTTCGCATTGCTCATGTATTTACTGGTGCATGCTCTGTGCCTGACATTGTACCAAGCCCTGGGAGTGTGACCTTTGCCTTTGTTATTATACTTTGTTATTACTGCTCTCTTGCTGAGGCCACCCCAGCACAGTGGGAGTCCTGCAGCCTCAGCCCTCCTCCTCCCATCTCCCAGGTTCTCAAAATAGTGAGTCTTGAGTCTTCTTTCTGTGCTATTCCACCTATGCTCCAAGCACCAGGAACTCTGATATTGGATAAAGAGACTTGTAAAGAGTCAAAGCAAGATCAGCAGCTCTTCTGAATAGGGGGCACTTTGGTGGAGTCCCAGGGTTTGGGTCCAGCTCCAAAAGTGCAGAAATCAGTGCTGTCCGTTTCCCCTAGATGGATCAGCCTCAAGGGGAGGGGCTCCCTATAACCAGACTTAACAGGGATTAGTGAAGCAGTGGTTTGCCATTTCATAAGCCCTTGACCAACAGCTTCTTCTCATTTTTTCTAGATATTGATAAAGTCTTGTTTGGCTACACAGACGCACGCCTGCTCTCTTTCTGAAACCACACCCGGCCCATCCACCTTCACATTGTGTTCAGTGCAGTTCAGCCTCTGGCTAGGTTGTGGCCTCCCTTCATTTTCTGCTGACTCCATGGGATTGGTTCTCCTCTTCCCTAGCTCCTTTCCATAAAGGGAAGGGCTCCCTGGAGGGGCTGTTCTTGCCTGTTGGGCCCTGGGTTTCCTGGGTTCACTGATAGAGAATGTGCATGGCTTGACTTTGCCTCACCTTCCACAAATCTCTCCTACACTTGCTGGCCACATGACCAATGCCTGTGGCCCTCCTGGGCCCTTTGCTGACCGACTTGTGTGGTTACTTTCTCTAGGATTCCCCCTTGGGGTCGTTGCTCTTCCTGAAGGATGTACCTGCCAAAGTCTTCACTTCCTAAAATACTTCTTGATCCACAAAGGACAGAAAATGTTTCCTGAGGGACCAGTGAAATCCCAGATGAAATGTGTGGTGCTGTGCACAGATGCTTCCCTCTATCTGGTGGAGGCCAGTGGGACCCAAGAACCTACCATCAGTATGCTTGTTGAGAGGTTGGTGGCTCTGGGATCAGACATGTGACACAATTTCATAGTGAAGATTGACAGCCTCCTTGACTAAAGTCTACTCTGTATGGTCATCCACTCTACTGGTGACTGCTCAGATCAAAAGTGTCATGTGCATGTGACAAATTTGTCTAAATGAATTTTTTTGATGGCACATAGGGCATCTTTCATATCCCATATGACCAAGAAAAAGCTTAGTTCTGCCAAAATAACCTTTCATCAGTTTCCCCAGGATCTCTTTTTTAATTTTAAAAAGTATTTTATGCATGCAAATGAATCTATACGATATGTGAGAGAGAGAGAGTGAGAGAGAGAGAGAGAGAGAGTGTGTGTGTGTGTGTGTGTGTGTGTGTGTTATAAAAAAAAACATTCTTTGCCCACTGAAAAGGAATCATCTCCAGTTCCATTAAGACTCCCTCTGTGCTTCTCCCTGGTCATATCCTTGCTACTCCCCATCAAAGATGATTAATTACCAATTGGTACTTAATCAGGGTTTAGTGAAGCAGTGCCAATTACCAATTGGCACTTTATCCAACCACCCCCAAATTTGATGGCTGAAGAAAACAGTCATTGTTGGCCTCTGTAGGTCAGCAATCTGGGCTGGTCTCAGTCAGGCAGGTCTTCCACTGGCCTTGCCTGGACTCTCACAGGTGCTTGCAGGCGGATGGCAGCTCAGCCTGAGTCTGGGAGTTCTGGGGTGGCCTCACTCACACACCTGGCTGTTGGTGGGCTGACGGCCAGGACACCCCAGTTCTCTTCCTCATGGTCTCTCCTGCTTCCTCATATTCTAGCCCAAGGCTGCCCAGCAGCAAGAGAGGAGCCCCATGCACAAATGTTTTTCAAGCCTCTGCTTATGTTACTTGTCCCATTTGTCAAAGCACATCCCCAGGCTACTCCTGTGTTCAAGCAGTAGAAAAATAGACTGCCTTTTGATGGCCAATTGTTTTTTTTTTTTTTCAGTCTATCATATTGTTTTTCTAAATTCATCATTCCTTTGATTTCCTTTAAGAATTAACCAGGTATGTATGATTGTGTGTCTAAACAACTTAGTGTTTAACTGTGCATGTTTAGGAAACTTATAGATGGAACCATATTGTAGGTACTCTCAAACTTGTTTTTCAATGGTCTTTATTCTAACTTGCTTTACAACATTGTTCCTGAGAGTTACACACGTTGGCTTCAGTTCTTTTATTTTCATTGTATATATACCACAATTACTTCAGCATCCTCCTGCTAACAGAATTTGAAATTGTTCCTATGTTTTGTATTTTTTTTTTTTTGCTACCATGAACAATTTCCTCATATATTTCCTGGTGTACATGTCAAGAGGTTCCCCAGGATATGTGCCCAGGAAAGGAAAGTCAAATTTTGAAACTTTTAAAATAGGAGAATGTCTATTTTTTTTTCCCCTTACAGGCCCACAAAGCATATAGATAAAGCCATCTGTGCAGTGGCCCCAGTCCCAACCTTACCTGGCATGGTAGGTTCCTTATGCCTTTCATTTCTCTTCTATGAATGTGTTCATTCCTCCTTCAAAACCTATCTGTTGATGGCCTACTATGTGCTAGGCACCTGGACTAGCTTTTGGATATGCAGACAAAAAAAAAAAAAAAAAAAAAGACAATCCAAGACTGAGGGCGTAGCTCAGTGGGAACATATGCTTAGTATGGGCCATTGTGACATGAGGCCCAGCACCCCCCCCCCAAAAAAAAGACTAAGACTAACAAATAAGAGAAAGTCACTTCATGGAGCTCACATTTAATTCAGAAGGTCAGACAAATCACCAAGCAGCTTCCCTAGAACACAAGGAAAAACTGTGATGATTTTGTAATGAACACATGGAATAGAGCAGGATTCACCTACTTGATCTGCAGAGTTTGGGAGCAGGGAGGGGAGGTGAAGACTGAGTTGGGCTGGGGCTGAGGCAGCACCATGGAGGCAGGAGAGCGCTGGCAGGTCTTCGGACTGCAGGAAGTTGAGGGGACTACAACATCAGAACTCTATGGGGTGTGAGGAGGGAGCAGGCTGGGGCAGGGTCCAGGGTGGAGGCACCAGCCCATGGAGTGCCCTGTGCTCCAGGCAGAAGGTACAGATGTGCCCTTCTAGGGGACGGGGCTTGAAGCATGGAGAGGTAGAGCAGGGAGCAGCATGTTCTGAGAGGGCTGGTGAGTTGGAGAGATGTAAAGAGATGGAGCTCTCGTGGTGGGTTGCCGCTGACCGAGGCTGAGGACAGAGAGGGGTTCGGCTTATCCTGAGCAGAGAACCAATTCCTAATTCCCACAGGCCCATCTAAGGAGACACAGGCCAGGAGAGAGAAGCTGTGACTCCCAGTGTGGCCCTTCAGAGGGTGAGGGCCTACAGGATTTCCAGGGGAGGCTCTGAGAGAGCTCAGGGCAAAAAATGTCCATTTGGGGGCCTGAGGGTGTAGCTCAGTGGTAGAGCACTTGCTGAGCATATGTGAGGCCCTGGATTCCATCCCCAGTACAGCAAATAAAATAAAACTGTTCATTCTGTGGTCACCAGCCAACTAGTGAGTCAGTGGCGGTTGGGGCCAGGTACCAGCAGGTTCCCAAGTTACAGGGGAGGTAAATAGGGAGAGTCATTTCCCAGGGGAACTGCCGTCCCTTATGGGACAAGAAAAATGAGCTCACGTTGTGACTGAGAGAGATCCCTCCAGTTTGTGGGGTGACCTGCAAGCTTGGGGAGGAGTATGAAGGAGATGAGGGCACAGCTCCTGTGCTGAAGAGAGCCAAACATCTCCTCATGGGAACATGTCTGAGGGAGGGACAGACAGCAGGAGGTGGAGTACAGAGGGCGAGAGGCCCTCCACTGCTGTGGGAGGGAAACGCATGGCTGCAGGAGGGGATGTGGGCTCAAGAGGGGCTTTGGAAGACCTGGGTGAGTTGTCTACTCCGGGGAGAAAGAACCCAGGCAGGAGGGACTATCTCAGATCTCAGGCCAGGAGGGTGGCTGGCTTGAGCAGGTTCCCAGGGGTGGGAGGAGAGCACCAGAGGGGCTTGGTTGAGGAGCTGGAACTTGGCCATGAGGAGGGGGAGCTCTTCAGAAAGATGCTGGCCAGATAGAAGGAGGAGCCAAGCCAGCAGAGAAGGAGCAGCGCCCTGGATCCCACAGTGTGTGGAGGGTGGTTTGCCAAGCTTAGCCCTGAGGGGGCAGCTGCTCACACCTGCACTTTCCCCTTGCAGCCTGGGGTGGACCCAGAGGCTGGGTGCCCAAGAGCTCATAGAGTATTCCACATTGTATTGTCTCGCTTCAGACTCTGCTTTGTGGGGGACCAAGTCCAGTAAGAGTCCCCTCACCGTCTCTTTGCTTCCCAGGTGCTGATCTTTTCCAAGAATGGCTCTGTGAACCTCATGGATGTGACCAAGGCTGAAGTCATCTGTGCCTTTGCTCCCCCAAGATCCTACCATCTGGAGGTGCCCTGGGAGCCGTTATTTGTTGTGTCTTCACACCATCCATGTTTCCTGCTCCACGGTATGGAAGGGGAATCTGCTGCCCAGATCTAGGCCCTCACTGACCCCCCAATCCTCCCCGCTGCCTCCCACTCCACCTTGGGCCAAAGGACCCTGCAGCCTGGTCTGCACAGAGTTCTCTGATCAAATGCTGGCATGGTCTTTGCTCTGGACTGCTGTTCTACCAGCTCAACCAGCTCCTCTCAGCTCAATCCAGATGACCCTGCCCTTTATGAGCAGAGGGCAACACCCACCCACCCACACTGGGCCACAGTGCCATGGAGAAAGCATGGTATCCTTGGTGCCATGGTGTTCCTGTTTCATGGCAGGGGGCTGTCCAGCTGAAACTGAAGCCACCACAGATAATGCCAATGACCCTTGGAATTCTGTATTCTATTTCAATTTTGAGACCTATCCACTCCTGGAAAACATCTCCAAAAACTGCACCATTCCTCTGAAGGACTTGGTAGATGACAAGGTGTTCTCCCGCGTGCTGCCATTGGAGGAAAGATGCCAGCGTTTCCTCCAGAAGAGGTAAAGATTTCTGCGTCTTATCCCTCCCGGCAGCTGGGTTGTCTCTGGGTCAAGAGACAGTAGAGTTTGTTTTGTGGAAGATCCTTTCAGCTTTTAAATGAGTGCATGCTGTAATTCCAGCAACTTGGGAGGCTGAGGCAGGAGGATTGAAAGTTCAAAGCCATCCTCTTAGTGAGGCCCTCTCCAAATAAAATAAAAAGGGCTGGGGATGGAGCTTGTGGTGGAACCCCACCCCATTCAATCCCCAGGATCAAAATTAAAATAAAGAATAAAATATTTCTTCCCTGAATGAAGGTTGCTACCACATAGGCCATACTCCCCATTCATTTTAGTAGGAAAGGAGTAATTAATTCAGTTTGGTAGAAGAGGAAGACTTTTGTTGGATGTTTTCTTTCTGTCATGACCATCTTTTTATTTTCTCAATTAATTTATTGAGGGGCTGCGGATTGAACCCAGGGCCTCATACATACCAAGCAAGCACTCTACCTCCAAACTATATCCACAGCCCTAAATTCCTTTTTTTTTTAAAGCACATTTGTGGGGCTGGGGTTATGGCTCAAGTGATAGAGTGCTCGCCTCATGCATAAGGCACTGGGTTCAATCCTCAGCACCACATAAACATAAAGATATTGCATCCACCTAAAACTAAAAAATAAATATTTTTTTTTAAAAAGGCACATCATTAAGTTGGGTTGATGAACTATGGCCCCATGGGCCAGATACAGCCCACTGTTTGTTTTAAAAATAAACGATTGGGCTGGGGATGTGGCTCAAGTGGTAGCACGCTCGCCTGGCATGCGTGTGGCCTGGGTTCGATCCTCAGCACCACATACAAATAAAGATGTTGTATCCGCCGAAAACTAAAAAATAAATATTAAAAAATTCTCTCTCTCAAAAAAAAAATAGTAAAGGGTTTTGTTGGTGTTTGCATGCTGGGGATTAAAGCTTATGCATGCTAGGCAAATCTCTAACATGGAGACACAGTCCCAGCCCCTTCTAAAAACAGTTGTATTTGGACACAGTCATGCCCGTTTGTTCACAAGTTATCTATGGCTGCTGTGTGCTACAACCGCAGAGCTGAATAGTTAACGATGGAAACATGCACCCACCAAAAGCCTTAAACTATTCAGTGTTTGCCAGCCACTTCCATCATCTAGATAAAAGTTAATGTATGAATTTCTCCTCTTCCTCTTCCCCTTCCCATTCTTCCCAGTTCTTGGTTTGCTTTCCTTTTTTCTCTGAAAACACAATGAACTATACTCAGTCCACCCTGGAAAAACAGAACTCTCTTCTAATCCATCTCAATAAATTTCTGGGGATTTTCAAGTCATTGGTGGTTCCCACCAGTATCCGACCACTCAATTTTGGTGGAATGGGGTCTTCAGTGGGCTATGGATCCTCATCCCAGGCCTGGCGCTTCAGAGCTGGGTGACTGGACTGGCAGGTCAGTTCCCTTCCGAAGCCTCCATGACCTTACGTAACACCTTTGAGCTTTGGGGATCTCTTCAGGATCATTTCTCCTCTCTATTTAGACTCCATGTTTGGAGCCAAACGGACCTGGTTTGAATTCTGACTCTACCACTCACTGACTATAAGGCCTTGGGTCAGTTAACCTCTGAGAGTCTCAGTTTTCTTATTCATTCAAACACATGTATGGTGACAGGCTGTGTCCTGGATATTTTGATTATGCCTACTTTTTAGGGTTTGTAGTATTAAGTGAGACAGTACATGTAAAGTGGAAGACACACGCTGATTCCTCTGTAAATGGTGGGCAAGATGAGCATGTGTCTGGTTCCTGTTAATGCAAAATGCCTGGGGAAATTCCAAATGTCACCACTAGGTGGCAGCACCACTCTGCTTTCATCCCTTACCTGCCATCTTTTTTTCCTTCTTTCCCTTCCTTGTGGTGTGGGGGATCAAACCCAGAGCCCTGAGTCCTCTACCTGCTACATATATTGTTATTGCTGTGTTGTGCTGGGTTGCTCTAGTGACTCTCAGTATCTCATGGAGGAAAGCATGCCCATTCATTAAGAGGGAGGGAAAGGGACAATGAACAAGGGGACTGTTGACTCTGCCCCAATTAAAGATGGACAGTAATGTTCAGCTCTTCCTTGTATGGAGGTCTCTTATTGTGACCCTTGATGACTAGGGCATGTAAGCAATCCCGCCAAGAGTTTAGGAGGAAGTATCATGATGTCTACTACTTTCAAATGTCCTAGCAAAATATTTACAGAGAGAGACAGAAAGAAAGTGAAATTTTTAACAGATGGTGAAATCTAGAAAAATATTTATTGGGGCGGGGAGAGAGGTAAATCATTAACAGCGGTGAATCTAGGGGAAAGTTCATTGCAACTTCTCTACAGGTTTGAAAAATTTCAAAATAAAAAGGTTGGGAGAGGTTATAAAATGTTGTTTACATATAATCCTGACCTTGAGTAGGAAAGAAGATGGGAAGTGTGTTTAGCAATACAAACTTTGTTATATCTGGGTGGTGGAAATATGTGTGATCGTTTCCTTTTTGTTTATTTGCAACTTTTTTACAAAAATATGTATGCATTGTTTTAGCAAATAGGTTTAAAATAATGGTGGAGAAATAAGCCAGGAGCCTGAGGTTACCCAGGCTGTGAAGAGACGCTCTCTTGGGGAGGGGAGTCATGGCCTGGGACTTTCTGGCTTTCTCACTGGAAGCTCAGAGAATTCCTGGTTTAATGTTCTTGTTTTTATTTTGTTCTGTTCTCCTTTGTGTGGTGGGAGGATCTTCATGATTGAACCTTTACTACTGAGCTACAACCCCAGTCCTCTTTATTTTTTATTTGGAGACAGGGTCTCTCTAAGTTGCTGAGGATCTTGCTAAGTTACTGAGTCTGGTCTCAAATTTGAATCCTCCTGCCTCAGCCTCCCAAGTACCTGGGATTATATGTGTGCGCCACCACTGCAAGTGCCACTGAGCCTGACCCCCTCCTTTTACTGGTCTGGAAAAGGTGAGCCTTCCGACTTTACACAAAGTCTGCAACTCCAGCTCCAGGCAGCTCCCCTCCCACCTGACCCTAGGCTGACATTTCTCAACCTCACCTGAGGTGACCTAGTCCCTCCGACACCTGCTGAACCCTACATCAGCCCATGGAAGTTGCTTCAAGTGTAAATCTACTACTCTGAAAAAGTTCCCATTGGGAAAAAAAAAGATATATTCACTATTTCTGGTAAAAGTCATAAATATAAATAAATAAACACAAACTTGTAGAAATTTGGAGAACAGGGAAATAAAAACCAAGAAGGGAAGTTTAAATAATTCATAATTTTACCACCAAATATCAGCAGCACCACTATTAATATTTCCTTCCAGGTCTTTTACCTTGGCATTGTCACCAAGTTGAGATTGTGTCACATGTTCACTTTTTATCTGACTTTGTCACTCCAGAATATAACTTAATATATTTTCAATTTTGAGAAAAGCATCTCTAGTCAGTTTCCTGTCATTGTAATAAAATACCCAAGATAAATAACTTATAAATAGAAAAGGTTATTTTTGGCTCATGATTTTGGCAATTTCAATCCATAATTGATGGGCCCTGTTGCTTTGTATGTGGCAAGGCAGCCCAGTCATGGGGTGGGAGATATAGCAGATGAAGACCACTCCCTTTCTGACCTGGAAGCAAAAAGAAAATGAGGAAGGGTCTGGGGTTCCTCAACTCCCTCAGAGGAGACCTAAGGACTTCCCACTAGGCCACCACCTCCTAATAGCACCTTAAACACATGGACCAAGTTAAAACACATGGGTCCAAGTTAAAATACATGGGCCTTTTGGGAAAATTCAAAATCCAAACTATAACATTTGTGAATATATTTTTTCATTACTGTATAATATTCCATGGGAAGGCTGTGTATTAATTTACTTCACTGCTGTATAGTTGGACTACTTGGATTAGGAGAAAAATATCCTTTCTATCTTGACTTTCCCCATCACTGGAATATTGAAGCTCATCCTGGTCCCCCAACAAGGAGTGGAAGGGACTCTTCCACTTCCCTCCTCACAACTGCCTCTCTCTGTGTCCACACTAGCTACTAGGTCCCAGTCCCAGCTCCTCCCCAGGAAGGCCCACAGCAGCTAGGTAGGATGCAGAGGACTGGATCCTCTGGAACCTTCTATAGGGAAGACGGCTAGAGTCAGCAGAGCTGACCAATGGGGTGGCCAGGGGCAGGGATTGGGATTGGCAGTAGTGTGAGCCGAGGGGAAGCTGGAGGGGACATAGCAGCGGGTGGCAGGCCCAGTTCCAATGCCTCAGGGATCAGACTTGAGGCATTTACTTGGTGAACCACATGCCTCCAGGCATCTCATCTTCTAGTTTGGGCCCACAGATTAATTGGGAAACACTTGACTTCAAGAAGTTTCTCCCCATTCTACCTGCTCTGAGGCCTGATGTCCAGGGCTTTCCCAAGGAGCATGCCCTACAATTTCATTGTGTGATTTCTCAAACCTGCAGGAGCTTTGAGATACATTTCCACACACACCATCCAGATGCCTTCACTAATGCTCCACTCGCCTCACTTTATCCCATACAGGCCACGAGGTTTGGGACCATGCCCTCTTTTTTTTTTTTTTGGTACTGGGAATTGAACCCAGGATCACTTTACCACTTCGATACATCTCCAGCCCTTTTTGTTTTTTTTGTATTTTGAGACAGGGTCTTTCTAAGTTGCCCAGGCTGACCTGGAACTTGTAGGCCTCCTGCCTCAGTTTCCCAAGTCACTGAGATTACAGGCATGTGCTGGCTTCCCTTCTCTCTCTCTCTCTCTCTCTCTCTCTCCTGTTTACTCCTTGTTTCTAGTTTCCCTTGGCCTTAAAACTAGGTGAAACTGCAAGGATTCATGTGGCAATAGACTCAAAGTTTCAAACTTGCTCTAGTCTGTCCAAATGGTCTTCACAAAATCGCACTGGGACTTAACAACCAGTGTGAAACAGAGCCTGTCTTAGGGCTTTGAAAGGAGGCCAGTTGGCACCAAATGTGCCACCCGCCCTATAGACCTCTGCTCCCTCCAACTCAGGTCCTCCGGGGCACCCTTTCCATCAGCCTGGACACTCTGTTTTAGTGTCTACCATCTCTGGCCGTTCACAAGAGGACAGAACTTTGAGGACACCAGGGAACAGACAAAATTAGTGTCACCTCATATTCTTCAGTATACAAGGCCCTGCAAGGTCCAGACTCTCACACTAGCTTTCTGCCATAAACTGGGCTCCTGAATGACCTAACAGTCCCAAATTCACATAGCACACAGCTCTCTCACTGGGGGGAGGGGGTGGAGGCAGCAAGTGCTGGGTGAGGCCAGGTGACATGGTCATCAAGGTGGGAGGAGGAAGGTGAGGAATGGCTCCCTTTATCCTTGAAGGCCAACATTATGGACCTCCCCTAACAATCCTTTTTTTTTTCTTTTTCTTTTTCTTTTTTTCTGGTACTGGGGATTTAACCCGGGGCACTTTACCACTGAGCTCCATCATCAGCGCTTTTTATCTTTTATTCTGAGACGGAGGGGCTCACTAAGTTGCTGAGGCTGGCTCTGAACTGGTGATCCTCCTGCCTCAGGCCCCTGAGTTGCTAGGATTTCACCTGGCAGTCCTTTGCCTTTCTTGAGAAAGGGCTGAACCTCTTCCAGCGTTATTTGTAGAGTCAGAGAGCTCAGACCAGGCTGTTGAGTTCAAAGGCTTTGTGCAGGGACTTGAAGTTGTTCCAGCTTCTCTCCCTCTTTTCAAATAGGCAACTGGTCTTTGTGGAATAAACACTCATATGCATACACACACACACACCCCTTGTCAGTATGTTTCCTGAAACAATAGAAAGCACTCACTTTGAGCTGATGATGGAGAGAGGGTGTCATGCCTCCCTAAAGGCCTTTTTTAGGGGGCTTCCATACCCCCCTGGTCAGTTAATGCTCAGCATCAGATGAACCAGGCTGCCTCCCTCTCCTTCCTCACCGCTGAGCAGTCAGGAAATCCCACTGTGGATACGAGTTGGTACCACCCAGGGCTCGGCCCCACTTCTCTGCTCACTCTCCCAGCAGCCTTCTGCCCCCATCTCTGCCTTGGCTTTGGTCCCTTGGCTGCCCTCTCCTTCTTGTCCTCCTGTCCCCCTATACTTCACCTGCCTCCTGACTCAGAGACAGAGGCACGCTGCTCATACCCCAGGATTTGGAGTCCCAGCCATCCCGCTCCCCATGACACCCAGATCTTGCTTCCTCCACCATGCTCTCTTCCATCTGGTTGGCAGTCTCCTCCCCTCCACCAGCTTTTCCTAATCATGGGCTAATGTCACCAAGTTCCCATGTCAGCAAACAAATAAGCACTTTCCTAGGTCTAGAGCCAGAGCCCCAGGGGCTGCTGGGAAGCAGCCCTCATACCACGTCTCCATGTTGGTGAGATTTCCCTAATTCCTATAGGGCAAATTCTCGGAGGTGACTTTGAGGTTGAGTAGGCACGTTGGAATGATGATGGTTTTCTAACTCGCCCTCCTGTCCCTCAGCACTTCCCACACTGGCTATGGAAGCAGAAAATCAATAGCTTGGTATTATTTTAATTTGGAAAGTAAGGGTTAAAATTTAGCCTTTTAGTTACATGTCCAGTATTGTAAATTTCTCTTTCTTCTCTGCAATTTGCCCTCTCTTTTCTATAGATGTGTTCATTTTCTTTGAATTTTAAGATTTCATTGTTTTTTTTTTAATTTTTTTTAAAGAGAGAGAAAATTTTTTTAAATATTTATTTTTTAGTTTTCGGCGGACACAACATCTTTGTTTGTATGTGGTCCTGAGGATCGAACCCGGGCCGCACGCATGCCAGGCGAGCGTGCTACCGCTTGAGCCACATCCCCAGCCCAAGATTTCATTGTTGATGCTGCAAGAAATTTATCCTGGTTTGTCTTTGGAGTGAAGTTATTTTATTGCTTGTTTAGCCAAACAGAAGTTGTAAATGTGAACTGTCCGTCATCTCCCTTAGGTTTGGTGGAGGTTGGTGGTCAAGAGCATCAGAATCCCAGGGCAACCTCTGGGCTGTTGGGAGGAAGAGGGGAGATGTGAGGATGGGGTCCTGACTCTGGTGCCCTCTAGCGGTGTGACCAGGGCAAATCTTGGTTACCTTTGATGAAAACAGTATCCTGTGTCTCAGTATATTTCCAGTACTCAGTAAAGATTAGCCACTATTTATTGCTAGATCCATAGAGAAATCCCTTCCACACACCAGTATTATATTTTAAAAATCACCCATGCTCACATTAATGGTTTTTATTTTGGTCTTCCTTATTATTTACTTATTTATTTGGTACTGGAAATTAAATCCAGGGATGCTTTACCACTGATCTATATCCCCAGTCCTTTTTATTTTTATTTTTCATTTTGGAGATGAGTTCTCCCTAAGTTGCTGAAGGTCTCACTAAGTTACTGAGCCTAGCCTTGAACTTATGATCCTCCTGCCTCACGCTCCTGAGTCTCCAGGATTACAAGCATGTGCCACTGTCCAACTGGCCCTGCTGATCCGCCTTTTAAAACTTGTTCTAAAGTGGGGTGAGGCAGTGCATGCCTTGAATCTCTTCAACTTAGAAGCCTGAGACAGGAAGTTCACGAGTTCAATGCCAGCCTCTGAACCTTGGAAAGACTCTGTCTCAAAATTTAAAAGGGCTGAGGATATAGCTCAGTGGTAAATACTTGCCTTAGCATGCATGAGGACCTGGGTTTAACCCCCAGCACTGGAAAAACAAACAAAAATCCTGGTTCCAGTTCCATTTGTTCATGTCTCCTGCATGTCACTCATCAATGCTTTGTTTTTCTGATCTCTTCAGCCCAGCAAATTCAGTTCCACTTATTTATTATCTGCAGCATATGTATTATTATAATTAACTTTTATTGAGCATTTACTCTATGCCAGGTCCCAGGCTAGGTGCTTTATGGGTATAACTTATTCATCATCATTGATGTCGTCATCATTATCCCCACTTACAGAGAGAAAGCTGAGGCTTTTAGAGGTCAACTCACCTGTTCAAGGCCACCAGCTTGTAAGGAAAGGAATGGGGTTTGAATCCAAGCCATTTGAGTCCAAAACCTGAGTTTTTATTTGGCCCATTTTCTCCCACACATGGATGCTTCAGTACCAGTATGTGCATTGTAGCTCTGATGGTCCTAGTAGAAGAGTGACTGTCCAATGTGTCACAAATAGAGAAAAGAAATAAGGCAGATCTGTGATCTGCCACCCAGAAATGACTTCTGGGATAAGATCTGAAGTGTAAAAAGCAGGTGCATAACCTTGGGTTACACACTTCCACTTACATTTTTTATTTTACTTCTTTTCTGATACTGAGGATTGAGGCCAGGGGTGCTCTACCACTGAGTCACATCCCCAGCCTTTTTATTTTGAGACAGGGTCTTGCCGGTTGCTTAAAGCCTTGCTAAGTTTCTGAGGCTGGCCTTGAACTTACAATCTTCTGACCTCAGCCTCCAAACTTGCTGGGATTACAGGTGTGTGCCACCACAAATGGCTGATTTTTATTTCTTTAAAAGTAACAATGTGGAGCTGGGGATGTGGCTCAAGTGATAGTACGCTTGCCTAGCATGTGTGAGGCACTGGGTTCGATTGTCAACACCACATAAAAATAAAGTAAAGACATTGTGTCCACCTAGAACTAAAAAAAAAATTAAAAAAAAGAGGAAGCAATGTACAAAGAAGAAGTAATTATAGATTACACTTTAAAGTTAGAACTAGCTCATCTCCATGTACATGTTTCCCATGTAGAACCTAAAACAACTCCAAAGACACAGTCATTGTCTTTCCTCTCAAAAGTATCCCTCTTCCTATTTGCCTAACTTCATCCCAGCACCCGGGACAGAAACCTGGCCAGAGTCTGTACACCCGCCACAGGTGTACACATAGCCCCTGCACTGGGTAAAAAAGTCCACCCCTCACGCACAATGAGGAGTTTGTGCTGTGGTGACCATGGGTTGATTTGATTTTTAAACTTTTATTCTTTAAAAAACTAAACCCAATGTCTTCAGATTAGTGAGCCATACAGTGTTTGTCCTTTGTGACTCACTCAGTATAATGTCCTATAGGTTCATTAAAATATGTAGCATGTGTCGGAATTTCCTTTCCTTTTAAGATTGAATAATACTCCATTGTGCATGTCGACCCTGTTTTATTTTCAAGTGGACTTTCTGGTTAGTGTGTTTGTGTTTTGGTACAGGGATTGAACCTAGGGGCACCTAACCACAGAGCACATCCCCAGTCTTTTTTATTTTTTATTTTGAGAGAGGATCTCACCAACTTGCTTAGACACTTGCCAAGTTGCTGAGGCTGGCTTTGAACTTGCAGCCCTTCTACCTTAGCTGCAGGAGCCACTGGGATTACGGGTGTGCCCCACCTCGCCTGGCCACAAATGGCCTAGAGCACTAGACCTGTCATTGGTCTCCTGGGTAAAGGCTTTCTGGTTCCTGGGGCTACTGTAATGAAGCAGTGTACCAACCCCCAGGGCCTCTCTGTTGAGCCCAGTGTGACCAGGCCCTGCCCTGGGGCTGGGAAGCTGGGAGGCTTGGGAGGCCTCTCATCTCTGGTTGTGTGGTCTTCAGCTTCCAGACACTGAAGAAGAACCAGATGAAAGGACACGATCACTGGGCCCGACTTCGGAAGTACTCCTTGATTCTCCAGAAAGAGAACACCAAGAAATTCACTCCAGGGACTCTCTGAAGAGGCTTCAAATAGGCAGGGTCTCCCCAGCATGCCCTGAAGTAAAAGGACACAGTGACAAAAAGACACAACTCGAGGGTTCTGGACTTGGGGTCTGGGACCTCTTCAGAGCTGGCCAGGGGAAAGGTATATTCTGGAACCTTTGAACACTAAGCCTCTTGTCAGTGCCCTCCAGTGGGCAGATGTGTCACCCAAATAAACAGTGATAGTGTTTCCAGCCTCTAAGTTGCTGTAGTGTGTGTCCCATCATTTCTACCCCACCTAGACTCCAGCAGGGCCCAGCTAGTGGCCCTCCCTGGCCTGGAGAGCCAATTTTCTCAAATGATCAAAACACCAAGCAGCTACTATGTGGCCCTTTCCACCCCTTCTCCTTCCTGTGGACTCCTAACCTTTACAGAACCTTTGAAGGGCTGAGTTATGGCCCCGTGGTAAGGAAATGTCTGCCTCTCTGAGGACACCATGTGATTCCTTGAAGCACTGCAGAAGTTGTTTCAGCCAGCCCTAGAGGCTCACCCAGCCTCGCTGTGGTTGATAAACTGCCCTGGAGGTTGGCTGCCTGCAGGGTTTGTGACTCCCATTCCTTCCTTTGTGCTCCCATTCGCTCCTCACTGGCACAACATCTCTTATGGCGCCAACATTGATTGGTTTAATGTCCCCTGTGTGAAGGGGTCCCCACCTGGGACAATCTGCCCTCTCTCCTTCCCACTAAGGGAATGAAAACACAATGGCAGAAACAGCTCTTTCCAATAATTCTTTCCTCCTCATATCAGGTGTGTGGAAGCTCTTTAGAATGAAGGAGCAGAATTTAGGAGGATGTTCTTGGCCTTACCCAGCACCCAAAGGTGATGAGGAACTGACACTTACTTGGTGTGTGTGTTTACACATAAACCTTAAGTAACCTTGAAAAATGTGGATATTACCATAATCCCCATTTTACAGAGAGGGAAATGGAGACTCAGGTTGCATGACTGAGATCAGCCTGAAACAAGACCTGATGGATTTTTTTCAACAGGAAGTCCAGAAACTCAACTCAAATTACCTTCAACAAAAAAGGAGTTTGTTGGCTAAAATAACTTAAATGTTAAGAGTAATTTTTTGGATTCAGGTGTTTTGTTTTTTATTAATTTTTTTTTTCAGTGTTGGGTGATAGGGAACACACAGACATGAGAGGTGAGAACAGGAGGTTAAGGAGATATCCTGTAAACTGGGTTTATCGTGCTGATCCCCACATGTTTTCACTTTTTTTAATGTTTATTTTTTAGATGTAGTTGGACACAATACCTGTGTTTTATTTATTTTTATGTGGTGCTGAGGATCGAATCCAGGGATTCGCACATGCCAGGCAAACGCTGAGCTACCGCTGAGCCACAACCCCAGCCCCCCCACATGCTTTCATTTTTAAAAAAGCAATTTACCTGCAGCCCTGCCTGGGTTAATTTAACAGGATATGTTATATTCCTTAACAAACTACCTGTTATCTACAAGAGAATCACAGGTCTGAAAGCAGACAAGGAGAAAACAGGTTACTTTGAAAGTGGAGATTTTTGTGACCCTTACACAAACCAGATCCCACAACTCAGGGAGATAAAGATAATTTCTCCCTAACCATAAAATCTGTAGGAACAGGTTCCAATTGGAACCAGTCAGCAAGGGCCAAAGTGACTTAGAGTTGTCATGGCAGTGGGGACTTGAAAGTCTGAGGTCATCCTGCTGTCAGTCAAAAGTCAAGAGGTGGGCATGACTCTCTGGAAACTTCCCTGGGATTCCCAATGAAACTAGGGGCAGGAGAGGCATGCCATCTTTCTCTTCTCTGAAAGGGCCACCCCCCTTTCTTGAGTGTCCCCTTTTCCCTTTTCTTATCCCTTCTAGTAAACTCATGCTTGCCACTCTGAGGAATGTGTCAGAAATCTTTCTGGTGTGATCACAAAAACCAATGAGAAAGGACTGCTGGCGGTCTCAACTACCCCGCAGACCCTGACCCTTGCCTTCCAACACTGTGGATGGACCCTCGCACAGAGTAGGCAGACACTCCACCACTGAGCTACATTTCCAGCTCCAAGATCACAAGCTTTTAACTTGAGGTCTATTGAATAAAATGTAAGGGATCAAGACCTTGCATAATAAATTATTACATTTTAATTTTTACTGCCTCTAATCACAATTTAGCATTTCCTCCAATTCTGAACACAGACAACAGACCACACTGAAAACTTCCCTGGGACTCCCAGTGAAACAAGAGGGCAGGAGAGTTATGCCCTCTTTCTACTCTGTGACCTGAGACATTTGTCAGCACTCTCCATATCCTGGATCTGGGCATTAAGAATCTCCCTCTTTCTCTTGGCTCTAATCCCCTTGCAAGATGGGCCTTCTGCCTGGGTGAGCACCCATGGCACCCATAGTGCATGTTCCTTTCTCAATGGTTCCAGCAAATTCCTGAGCCTGCTCCCCACTGGTCTGTATGTGGTCACATTCCTGAACCATGAGCTACGTTCATCCCTGGAGAGTGAGGTTCCCCACCCCCACCCCAATTAAGGACTGACATAGGGGACAGCTGTCTGATAAAAGGGAAATGACAGAGTGTGAGGGAAGAAGGCCAGAGGGATGCTGAGCAAAGATGGCAGAGGTGCCCTGCCCCAGCAGAGTCGGACTGGGGGAATTCAGCTCTACCCTCTCTGGGGTCACCTGCTGTGACACCAAGCCACCTCTTCTTTCCCTAGTGTGTGTGGGAGAGAGGAAGAAGGGGGAGCTGAGGCATTCACAAGAAACCTATGTACCAGATCCCACAGAGGGATGAGGGAGAAAGAACCAGGGCCTGACCAAGCCTACTCTCTGCTGGGGATCCCCAACTGGGAGACTGGGCTGCTGGGGCTCTAGCCATTCTCAGGGCAGATCACCATCAGATTAAGTAGGCCATGCCAGTGATCCCAAAGGACAGCCTAGCCTCCTGGGTGATAAATCCCCTCAGAAATGTCAAAAACCTGTGCTGGGTATGGTGGTGCACACCTGTAATCCCAGCGGCTCAGGAGGCTGAGGCAGGAGGATCGAAAGTTCAAGGACAGCCTCAGCAACTTAGCTAGGCACTAAGTAACTCAGTGAAACTCTGTCTCTAGATAAAATATAAAAAAGGACTGGGGATGTGGCTCAGTGGTTAAGTGCCCCTGAGTTTACTCCTCAGTACCAAACAAAACACAACAAAACAAACCCAAAACAACTCAGGGGAGCCAGGCTAGGCTGAGACAAGTGCCCAGATGCAAAATTTAAGGAGACACTCGCTCTTGGCACTATGCAAATGCAGGGTCAGAATCTGAGAAGGGTGGAAAAAGTGGTCTCTGGCCTGGCCCTGGGACTTTGCAGTTACATTGGGCTACCTTCCCTCTGCAGCCCTGTGCCTCTCTAGTTCTCCAGGTGAGAGCATTTCAGAATTCCAGCCCACTCCAGAGTCCCCTAGCATGGACTTCATTAGCAGCATGTGACCGGAGATCCAAGGTCTGTTCCAAGGACAACAGGATGTGAGCTTGGCCACCTTCTGGGTGTACCATCCACCTGTCCTGAGGCACATAGTTGCCTTCCGGGCCATTCCAAAGACTAGGTTGGTCCCCCACCCCAATGGCCAAATACTAACTTTGTGTACTTCTGTTTCCTGATCTGCACGACTGGGACAAGCACACATTACCATCTTCACCAGAGGTTCAGTAGCTGAAGTGACTTGAAATCGGGGCTAGATTACAGCCACAGCCTGGCTCCCACAGTTGCTCTGTATGTTTTTCTGCTGTTTCTGATTGTGTAAGCAGTTCTCTCTGGAGGAAGGAGGTGGCGTCAGCCAGCAGTGAGAAGAGAGCCACTGGCCCCTGCCAGGCACCCCCATGGCCATGCTGTCATTCGCCTGCCTGCCTCCCAGCGGGCCTACACCCAAACAGTTCCAGATTGGGGCCCGCTGCCAGGGATTCCGATGAGTTGAGATGCCACTCACTGATAGGGGACAGGCAGACATGAGTGGTGGGAACATGAGGTTAAGGGGATAATTCTATAAAATAGGCCCACTGTGCTGACCCTCCACATGCTTTCCCACTTTTTTTTTAATATTTATTTTTTAGTTGTAGTTGGATACAGTACCTTTATTTCACTTATTCATTTCTATGTGGTGCTGAGGATCAAACCCAGGGTCTCACACGTGCGAGGCGAGTGCTCTACCGCTGAGCCACAACCCCAGCCCATGCTTTCACCTTTAAAAAGTAATTTATCTGCAGCCCTGCTGGTTTACGTTTATTGAATTTATTAAGTTTCTCAGGAAAGTACCTATTATCTGAAGGAGAAATGCAGGCCCTGAAATCATGCTGATAAGAGGAACACAAGTTACCCTGAAGTGGGTGACTTTTGTGACCCTTACACAGACCAGATCCCACAACTCAAGGAGATAAGGATAATTCCTCCCAACCATAATATCTGTAGGAACAAGTTCCAATTAGAACCAGTCAGCATGGGCCAAAGTGACGTAAAGTTGTCATGGCAGTAGGGATTTGAAAGTCTGAGGTCATCCTGCTGTCAGTCAAAAATCAAGAGGTGGACCTGGGCAGGACTCTCTGGAAACTTCCCTGGGATCCCCATAAAACTAGAGGACAGGAGAGGCATGCCATCTTTCTCCTCTCTGAGAAGACCCATTCTCTCCAGAGTGTCCCCTTTCTTCTTTTCCATCTCTTCCAATAAACTCATGCCTATAACTCTGAAGAACGTGTCTGAAATTTTTCTGAACTGTTTGCAAGAACCCAGGGTGAAGGAGGAGCCTTGTGCTGCCTCAGTTTCCCGGGAATACCCATCATGGTAAACCACTACCTAGAGACAAGTTGGCACTCAGCAGAGGCAGTGCATGCAGGGGTTGAGCACACAGGGGCGGTGTAGTCACACCTGGGTCCCAATCCCAGTGATGCTACTTGGTATCTATAGGGGCCAGGTCGGTCTTCCTTAAGTTGCTCAGCCTTAAAATGGCCCTGGAACTGGGGTATCTC